CTGGCTGGTCGGTGAAAAGAAGTAGGCATTCGCGGAGTTGACCGGAGTTCGGGAAGTTGAGTGTCCGATTTTAGTTCCAGACACTTGACGACCAAGTCCTGCTGTCTCCTTTTGTGCGACCAAGATGGCCGCCGTTTTCTCCCGCACGTGGTGTTCGGCTATACGAACAGTGGCCACACAGAGAGAGCCCTTAATTTGCGGTCTTCTTTGTAGTTTATGAGCCAGGGGGTTTGTCGGTGTTCAGTAGTTTTATCTACCGAATGAAGAAAAATCTAAATCTAAAAATCTAAACTGTTTAACCCCTTAAGGACCGAGGACGGTTCAGCACCGTCATCGGCATTTTTGCCTTGAGGACCGATGACGGTCCTGAACCGTCCTAACGGTCTGGGGGTACTTACCTGATCGCCGTCGTTCCCCCGGCGGCGATCAGTGTTCCTCCGGTTGTGGGGAGACTGTCTGCAGCCCAAAATACACTTAGTATGACATTATATATATATGATATATAGACATATATTATATAGATATAATATATGTCTATATATCATATATACACATATATAATTATTTTATTTATTTTTTATTAACACTAACTTTATTTTTTTTAATGATTTTACACTAGCAGGGAGACTGCCTGTCAGCACAGACAGTCCCCCTGCGGCAGATTAGGACCCCTGTGGCCATGTGATCGCTTAACACAGCGATCACATGGTCACAATAGGTGTCCATGTGTCTGCCTGCAGGGGGACTGTCTGTGCTGACAGGCAGTCTCCCTGCTAGTGTAAAATCAAAAAAAAATAAAGTTAGTGTTAATAAAAAATAAATAAAATAATTATATATGTTTATATATGATATATAGACATATATTATATCTATATAATATATGTCTATATATCATATATATATATAATGTCATACTAAGTGTATTTTTATATTAATATGTACTTATATTAATATAAAAATACACTTATAATTAAATTACACACGTGTATATATATAATATATATAATAACTATATATATTATATATATATATTATTATAAAATATAAATAATAAGTAATTTAAATTAAATAAAAAATTTTTTAAATAATAAAAAATTTAAAAAAAATTATATAGCTATATGAAATTTTATTCTAACTGTATTTTAAAATTAATATATATATATTTATATCAAAATACACTTAGAATGAATTTGTATATATATCTATGTATATAAAAATAAATAAAAATAATAAGAAATATACATACGTCCATATACAAAATTACATAAATAATTATATAAATATACACGTAGACTTCAAATATATAAATATGAATATATATTTAAATTCTACGTGCGTATTTATGTAATATTTTTACATAATTCAGTAATTTTATTGATTGCAATTTGAGGGACCTGCCTGCCAACCCAGGCCGAAATTCCAGAGAATTTAATTTGCTAGCACTGTATTTTACCCTGTAACGTTCTACGACACCCTAAAACCTGTACATGGGGGGTACTGTTTTACTCGGGAGACTTCGCTGAACACAAATATTAGTGATTCACAACAGTAAAACATATCACAGCGATGATATTGTCAGTGAAAGTTACTTTTTTTGCATTTTTCACACACAAACAGCACTTTTACTGATGATATAATTGTTGTGATACGTTTTCCAGTTTTTAAACACTAATATTTGTGTTCAGCGATGTCTCCCGAGTAAAACAGTACCCCCATGTACAGGTTTTATAGCATTTTTGAAAGTTACAAGGTCAAATATATGGGTCAAATATTTTTACATTGAAAATGGCCAGGTTGGTTACGTTGCCTTTGAGAGCGTATGGTAGCCCAGGAATGAGAATTACCCCCATGATGGCATACCATTTGCAAAAGAAGACAACCCAAGGTATTGCAAATGGGGTATGTCCAGTCTTTTTTAGTAACCACTTGGTCACAAACACTGGCCAAAATTAGCGTTCAATTTAGTTTTTTTACTTTTTTCACACACAAACAAATATGAATGCTTACTTTGGCCAGTGTTTTCGACTAAGTGGCTACTAAAAAGACTGGACATACCCCATATTGAATACCCTGGGTTGTCTACTTTAAAAAAAATATGTACATGTGGGGTGTTATTCAGAGATTTATGACAGATAATAGTGTTACAATGTCACTATTGATAAATTTTAAAAATGTATGTTTTGAAACCGCAATATCCTACTTGTACCTATAGCCCTATAACATGCAAAAAAAAGCAAAAAAGCACGTAAACACTGGGTATTTTTAAACTCAGGACAAAATTTTGAATCTATTTAGCAGTTTTTTTCATTCGCTTTTGTAGATGAGTAAAAGATTTTTCAAGTAAAAGTCAAAAAACATGTATTTTTTCAATTTTTCATCAGATTTTTTTATTTTTTTTAAATTAAAATACATGAGATTATATAAATAATGGTATGTAAAGAAAGCCCCCTTTGTCCTGAAAAAAACAATATATAATTTGTATGGGAACAGTAAATGAGAAAGCGGAAAATTACAGCCAAACACAAACACCACAAAAGTGTAAAAATATTCCTGGTCGCAAATGTACAACATCGCAAAAACAGTCCAGTCCTTAAGGGGTTAAATTAAGAATAAAATAGTGAAAAGTTCATGAACAGCTGATTGTTATAGAGGAAAGAACCAGTAGCCATCAAAAGTAAGGGTAAATAAAATACAATACAATATTCTTATTGTCTCATAATATTACTGTCTTTGTGAATAGAACTAGTCAAATTTAGACCATCCAAGTTGTCAATCCAATGATTCCAAATTATTCTGTACCTAGCATAATGCTTCTCTAGGGACCTAATTTCTTCTAATATGCTTATCTGCTCAACAGTTATACCACTCAGCAAGTGTTGAGGGTTATCACAATGAAACCAGGCCCAACAAGCAGAGAATAGGTCACACTTAGGTAGATAAGAAATATGGATAGGCAGATACGTATTACTGTTTTTTAGAGGCGGCCAGGCTTAACATTGCTAGCAGGGGGAGTGCCTGTAATTACAGGTACTCCCCCTGCTGCCTGTAAAAAAAATAAAGTTTAAAACAGTTTAAAATAAAATTATATATAGATCAGATAATATATATATATATATATATATATATATATATAATATATTATAGATAGATAATTTATATCATCTAAGTGTGTATATATATATATATATATATATATATATACACACACATACATACACATACACTGTCTAAGTGTATTTTAATATTTATATATATATATATGTATATATATATATATATATAAATATCAAAATACATGTAGAATGTGTGTTTCAAAACAGTAAAATGTATTACAACGATGATATCATCAGTAAAAGTGAAATGTTTAGCATTTTTCACACAAAAATGTCACTTACACTGACGATATAATTGTTTTGGTACTTTTTACTGTTTTAAAACACAAATATTTGTGTTCAGCGAAGTCTCCCGAGTATAACAGTACCCCTCATGTACAGGGTTTATGGTGTTTTCAAAAGTTACAGAGTCAAATATAAGGCTTGCGTTTCAGTTTTTTCACATTGAAATTCGCCAGATTGGTTACGTTGCCTTTGAGACTGTATGGTAGCCCAGGAATGAAAATGATGGCATACCATTAGCAAAAGTAGACAACCCAAGGTATTGCAAATGGGATATGTCTAGTCTTTTTTAGTAGCCACTTAGTCACAAATACAGGCCAAATTTGACATTCAAATTAGTTGTTTTGCATTTTTCACACACAAACAAATATTAACACTAACTTTGGCCAGTGTTTGTGACCAAGTGGCTACTAAAAAACACTGGACATACCCAATTTGCAATACCTTGGGTTGTCTACTTTTGAAAATGGTATGCCATCATGGGGGTAATTCTCATTCCTGGGCTACCATACCGTCTCAAAGGCAACATAACCAATCTGGCAAATTCCAATGTGAAAAAACTGAAAAACATAACACGCTATTTTTCACCCTGTTAAATTATGTTTTATACCTAAATATTTGATGTTAAATGAAAGCCCTGTTTCCCCTGAACAAAATTATGTATAATAAGTGTGGGTGCACATAATATGAAAGAGGTGAATTACATCTGAACAGACATATAGCGCAAATTCTAATTTTTGTTTATGTTTTATTTTGCTCACAACATGTACATTTGGCTCAGTCTTTAAGGGGTTAAGGGGTTAACCTTGTAATGTAAAACAATGCAGTTTTTTTTAGAAACTGCAATTTGTATATTGCAAGATTAAATCCACCTCTAGTAGCTGTCTTGCTGTTACATTGTCGCAGTAAAACTTGGTCACGTGTTTAGGAAGCTCACAGGAATGCATGAAATAAAATGCTTTCCTATGCGGACGCTTGCATGTGGCACTATAGCATTATTAATGCAGAATTGTATTCCCAATGCTACAGTGTTTCTTTAAGTTATTTATTATTATTTTTTTTTAATATTTTTAAGGTGTGATTAAATGTATTAATGCTATCAGATGGTAAGAAAATATGTGTAACATTGCCTTTTAATGGTACTAAAAATGCTTTAAGTGAAGTCGTGCCTGATTAACCTGTTGTCATGCAGATTGCAGAACCCATGTGACCCAGACTACCAAAAGCTGAGAGCCTCCTTCTATAGCTTTATGTCAACACTTAGAAATTAAAAATGCTAAATCCATCGTTGGAACAAGCGACTCTGTTACCGATATGTGAATCACAATAATGAATTACTTGTTTAGTTGTGTTTACTCGAGGGACAAACGAACCAGGTCTTATTGCTTTTTCTTTACCTGGTGTTCCTCTTACAAAACGTGCTTTAATTTTGCTAATGGGACTTAGATAATTAAACATTGTGTATGGGGAATGCATTGCTTAAAATTAGAACTATGTCTTGCTGGAATAAATAGCTTGTGTCATGATGTATTCTGTGGAATGTATGCATTGTTAATGTAACTTTATTTCCTTGTTTCTTTAACAACAATTCTTTTTCCCCCCTAGTGCTCTTTTTTGCCAAAATTTCAAATTCGAATTGAAACAAAGTTTGAAAACAACAATGGCTGTAATTCTCAGGTAAGATCTCTGTCTGGCTGTGCATCAGGGATACCTGATGTTTTAAAGTGAACTGATCATGACAGGTTAAAGGACCACTATAGTGCCAGGAAAACATACTCGTTTTCCTGGCACTATAGTGCCCTGAGGGTGCCCCACCCTCAGGGACCCCCTCCCGCCCGGCTCTGGAAAGGGGAAAGGGGTTAAAACTTACCTTTTTCCAGCGCTGGGCGGAGAGCTCTCTGCCTCCTCTCCGCCTCCGATCCGCCCCGCCGGCTGAATGCGCACGCGCGGCAAGAGCTGCGCGCGCATTCAGCCGGTCTCATAGGAAAGCATTTACAATGTTTTCCTATGGACGCTGGCGTGCTCTCACTGTGATTTTCACAGTGAGAAGCACGCAAGCGCCTCTAGTGGCTGTCAATGAGACAGCCACTAGAGGATTAGGGGGAAGGCTTAACCCATTCATAATTATAGCAGTTTCTCTGAAACTGCTATAATTATGAAAAAATGGGTTAACCCTAGAAGGACCTGGCACCCAGACCACTTCATTAAGCTGAATTGGTCTGGGTGCCTAGAGTGGTCCTTTAACTATAAGAACTAAAATTAATTTAGCTTGTTATATATTATCAGTTATTTATGTAGTTATATATTTAAAAGTTATTATATATTATTTATTAAAGGGACACTCTACAAATGCTAAATAAATAAAAATCACTGTTTAGTAGATACACTCCAAATGCATTTATTATGCATTTTTGTCATTGGAGTTATATGTAAAATTAGCATGCAAAAACTGCAGTCCTCTTGTCTGTTGCCTTTACAATCCCTCCACTTCTAACCCCACCCAGACTTTGTGACTGTTCAATCACAGACTTCCCAGTGCAGCTCAAAGAGAAGTCTTTGAAAGTCAGGTGCTCTTGGGTATAGCTGCCTATTGAGTTCAGTCAAATAAGCTAACCAAACCAGGAAGTAACAGGACCTGATGTCTGCTTGAAAAGCCAGGGGAGTGGGAGGGGTTGATCAAATTTACAAAAGCGTCAGTTTTTGTTGAAATCTGCATTTTTTACAAAATGAAAGAATAGTACACACTCTTCACACATAAAGCTTTTCAGCAAGTTAAAGTGCTTTATTGGTCTGACTGTCCCTTTAAAAATATTCCTATGTACCACAGCCTCTTATCTGGTTGGCCCTAATTAGGAGGCACATTAAGACAACAAGATGTCTTCTCACATGCATTGTTGTTGCCAAGTTGGAGAAGGATCCTATTCTCCTATTATATTTATATTTCAGTGAGCAGATCAAGGGCAAAAAGGGCAAACTAGGACATACATGTCTCGGGTCTCAGTCTGCCCAAGATTATTGGGAGTTAAACTCTTGATCAGCACCTCTTGCAATTTTTATGACAGCAGCTGAAACAGGTGCCACCCAAGGCTGTAACTCATACTAACATAGGCATGCGCACAGGGTGTGCCGGGTGTGCCTGGGCACACCCTAATCCCTGTGGCACGCCTATGGATTGAGACCGACAGGGGAGATCTCAGGATCTCCCCTGTCGGCTCATGCAGAGCCAGCTCTATCCGAGCGCCGGCTCTGCTCTGAGCCTCCCCTCACCGACCCACAGGCAGTGAGGGAGGCAGGAGAGGATCCGGGGAGCTATTGCCAACAGCTCCGCCGGGTTCCTCTCGCGAGGTTGGAGCATTGCCGCGGCAATGCTTCAATCTCGCGAGAGTGAACTCTAGCCCTGCAGGCTTGAGTTCACTCTCCACTGGACCACCAGGGATGGATGGCAGCAAGGATCCCCCCTCCCAGGCATAAGGTAAGAAGGGAGGGGGGATATTTACTAAACAGCCCACACACAATACACACAATCACCCAAACATACAGCACACACACACACAGCATCTACACACATACAGCACACAAACAGCACCCACACACACACACAATACACACATAGCACCCTCATACATACATCACCCTTAAACACACACACTAACAGCACCCTCACACACACACACACACACACTAACAGCACCTTCACACTCACACATCACCCTTACACACACACACTAACAGCACCCTCACATCAACCTGACACTCACACATCACCCTTACACACACTCACACATCACCATAACACACACAGCACCCTCACACACACACTAACAGCACCCTCCCACTAACAGCACCCTCCCACTAACAGCACACTCACACTAACAGCACCCTCACACACAGCCCCCTTACACATACACAGCACACACTAACAGCACCCTTACACACAGCATCCTCACACCACCCACACAGTAACAGCACCCTTACATATACACACACACACACTAACATCACCCACACACATACAGCACCCTTACACAAACATACAGCACCCTTATGCACACATAAAGTGCCCTTACACACACACAGCGCCTTCACACAAAGCACCCTTACACACACAGCACCTTCACACACACATAGCGCCTTCACACACACACAGCGCCTTCACACACACACACCACCCTCACACACACACAGCAGTATATGTGTGTGTATGTGTATGTATGTATGTATGTTTATACTAATCTCACTATATCAAACAGTAACAAATTACACCCCAGTCTAAAAATATATTGAAGTATGTACATCATGTTGAGAGGTGTATTCTAGTGTTTTTTTTTATTTACTTTAGTTGACTGAACCAATGTAAAAAAACAAACCTAAATGGATCTGTGGATAAAGACACTTCACATACAAGACTTTGAAAGTATTTTATCAGAAGGAAAACATATAGATTTCATTAGTCATCAAATATGCACTAGGTTTACATGGTACCACTATCTGGCTTACTAGTACATATTGTATTGATCGTCGAATGATCAAAAAAATATTTGATTCTTCAGGAATTCAGATATTCATTCCTGAGGTTTGACCAAATATTACAATGCCAGCAATGGGAGATACAGCCAACATATATAGATAAATATAACTAGTACAAAACTTAAAAAAAAATAGATATATCGTGGGTTAATTGTTACACTCACAAGTCAAAATATTAGAGCAGGCAAGCTAGGATAACATCCTCCATGTAAAGGATTTTCAACAATCCGGCCCTGTATTTCAACCATCTGGCAGCATTCTGTCTGGCTAAATTGGAGAAAATTCAGGCAAGATCTAGGCCTTGTAAATAGTGTAAACAATGTCCGTATTTTGCATTCCAATTGTCCATGTTCTGGAACGGGGCATTTGGATTTTTAGTGAAAAACCATATAAGTCAATTCTGTTTTCAGTTTGGTTACTTTGGCCTTATTTGACCTATTTTTTTTGTTAGCTGGTAAGTGCTATACACAAAGAGATATAGTTAATTACCTAGAAAAAAAAAACACACACAGACACACATACTCTCTCTTTTGGATTTACTTATATAGCCCCCTATGGTTATGCTCAAACAAGTTTAGATTCTGCTTCCCACTAAGGTGATTTTACATCTGTTAGTGATGTTGCTGCCTAATTTGCAAACAAAGTTAAAAGCAATTAATTTATTTAATTTGCAATAATACTGCTCATATATACATGCTGCCTAAGTATAATTCTAAACATTTAACATATTATTGATACAAAAAAGTTTTTTGTTGTTTTTTTTTTTAATTCTGTCTATTATTATTTTTCTATATAAAACAATTACATTTCCAAAGTTTCTGCCATAAGTATAAGATCAGTTTCATAATTCTTATTAATATTGCATTTTTGTTTTTGTCAAGAAGCTAAATATGCGATACATCTGAAATTTATAATTTTGATGATACAAGTAAGCATATCATAAGGCAGAACGCTAATTATAAACCATCTCACGAGACATAAGTAGACAAATTACAAAACAAATATCATGTTCTCGATCAGGGGCATACAGGAGTAGAGGAGAGAGGTACTATACATTTTCTTATACTTCCCTTGTTGTTATATATTATTTCCTTATAGCATATTGTTTTTTTTTCATTGATTCGTCCCAAACGCCACTATAACTATATATTTTATTTTTAGGGGTCGGGATATGTTTTTCCATATTCAGTTGAGAACATATTTGGTGTTTAATTAGGCACCAGTCAGGTTTTGATGGACTTTTCCAATTTCTAGCTATGATTAATTTAGCAGCAGTCAACATATGTAGTAACAGAATCAATTCTTTATTTTTCATACTGGTTATGTTAATATGTAAAATAATCAATTCAGCTGTTACCGGTATCTTAATATTTACTATTATATTTATCCTTCTACCGACATCTTGCCATAGTTCTGTAATGATCAGGCATTCCCACCATATGTGAAAATAGTCTGCATCCTTTGTCCAATATTCTGAGGAGTGGTTAGGAAAAATTTAATTGATCCTTTTCAGGACTAGAGGCCAACTATTTAAAATTTTGTAATGTTAATTTAAATTCAAGCAGGTTTTTATTTAAAACCAAAATTGATCTATTCCATTCCTTATGCGGGATTTGCAAACCCAGATCTCTGCTCCATTTCTCTACAGATTTTGGGAAATATTTCTTTTCCATTTTATATAGCAGGGAGTTAGCTTTAGAAATAAATTTTTTAGTGTAGTGGATGTAGTTATACCTTCAATGGTTTTAATATATTTTCCAGACCATGAGATTAGGTTAGTATCAGGTACTAAATCATTTAATAATTCAATTCTAATAGAAGGGAAAATATTTTCTTCTATGTCTAGTTTTCGTTTTATGTCAAACCAATTTTTCAATATATGAAAATTGTGCTTCAAACTGGTTTTTTTTGCCTTCTTTTGGATCAACAGCAAAAAACAATTGTGAGGTAGGCTGAACTTGATGGACGCAAGTCTCTTTTCAGCTATGTAACTATGTAACTACTATGTAACTATGTAACTATGTAATGCAGAAGTTTCTCCCCAAAAATGTACCCTTCTAATGTCTTGAGTTGACAACCAAAAAATTGAGGAAATATTCCTGTAGGGACCAATTCTCCTGGCTTCAAGTTTATACCAGCTTTCCTCTTTGGATGACTCCTGGAAAATACGTATAGTGTGGGTTAAAAGAGTAGCCTGGACCAATCTTATCAAAGATGGAATTCCTAGGCCTCCATCTTTTATTTTCTTTGACAGTAATTTAGTACTAATTCTAGGTCTTTTTTTTGTCCATATAAATTTAGTGAAAGAAGATTGTAATAGATTGATCCAGCTTCAAAGGAATATTACTAGGAAATAGACTCAAAATAAAGGTGATTTGGGGTAAAATATATGCTTTTATGGTGTTTATCTTACCCCACCATGATATTTCTTTTTTTTGTCCACATATTTAATTTAAAATTTATTTCCTTTATTAAGGGGAGCAAATTAATCTCTATCCATTTTTGGGGATTTGTTGAAATTATTAATCCTAAATAAGAAAAGTATTCTTTTGCCCAAAGGAAATCAAACTTATACCAGCTTTCCTCTTTGGATGACTCCTGGAAAGTACATATAGCGTGGGTTAAAAGAGTAGCCTGGACCAATCTTATCAAAGATGGAATTCCTAGGTCTCCATCTTTTATTTTCTTTGACAGTAATTTAGCACTAATTCTAGGTCTTTTTTTTGTCCATATAAATGTAGTGAAAAAAGATTGCAATAGATTGATCCAGCTTCGAGGGATATTACTAGGAATTAGACTCAAAATAAAGGTGATTTTGGGTAAAATATATGCTTTTATGGTGTTTATCTTACCCCACCATGATATTTCTTTTTGTTGAAATTATTAATCCTAAATAAGAAAAGTATTATTTTGCCCAAAGGAAATCAAACTTATCTATAATTTCCTTTTTCATCTGGGATGTTAAAAAAAAAAAAAGAGAGAGAGCCATTGTTTTAGAGGTGTTTAGTTTGTAATTCAAAAAATGACTATATCTGTTTATCACCTCCATTAGTTTGTTAATTTAACTTACTGGGTCTTCCAGCAAGATGAGTATATCGTCAGCAGCATATAGCTTTATTTTTATTTCCACTTTATCCTTAAATCCTTTTATTTTATTGTTATTTCTTATCTTAAATGCCAGTATCTCAATAGTTAAAACATAAAGAAGAGGAGAAAGCGGACAGCCTTGTCTAGTGCCATTATTTAATTTAAAATAGTTAGAAGAGATGCCGTGGCCTATTACTTTACCCGTAGGGTTAGAGTATAAAGCCATTTGAAAGGAAATCCCAACTGACCCTGTCAAATGCTCTCTCAACATCTAATGACAGGGCCAGCATCGGGGTCCTTCTGCGCCTTGCGATCTCAAAAATATTTGACAATGCTCGCATATGGCTTGCTGATGATCGTCCTGGGATAAATCCCACCTGGTCAATATGGATTAAGTTATTTAATACCCTTTTTAAGTCTATTTGCCATAATGCCAGCATATAATTTTAAGTCTTCATTCAAGAGAGAAATTGGTCGGTAGCTTGTTACCTCCCAAGGATTTTTCTCTTGCTTTAGGATAGTTATTATATATTTCCTCTTAATAGATCTTCCGGAAGGGCACCCTTTTCTGCGATCTCATTAAGTGATCTGCAGGTAGGGCGCCATTACTCTTTTAAATGACTTGTAGAATATGGCTGTCAAACCATCAGGACCCGGTGCGTTATTGGGTTTTGAGTGATCAGTTATATCTATAATCACTAATCTCTAATTAATTCACATCTCTAATGTGAAAGGTTCATTAAGTTTTTTTTAATTACAAAAAGGTTAATAAATCTAAGGCATGTCACATTCTATAAAACATTTAAAGTGCCCATTTTAGAATAAACAGATTCATAAATGGGTTAGTGGGGTGTTAGAGTGCAAAAAATGTGCAGACAAGCCACTGAAAATGGGAACACTTCCTATAATTCCTCTTAAATATACATAGAAAAACTGTATAAATCCCAAAGTTAAAATACAGTGCAAGGCACCACAATCACGAATGTGAATTATAGTTACCACTTGGTAGAGGAGCTAATCCTCACATAGAAAAGAAACATATAAAGAGAATCATAGTGCAATCCATTTTAGAATAAGCTTCAATGTTTATAAATAGGTTTATAATTATCATTGCTAAAACATATTGCTTAAAGTCACGAACATTTCTTCTGGTAACGGTTTTCTCATACCAAAGGGCATGTAAAAGAAGACTTTCGAACTTATAAATAGGAAGTGTTTAATGTGGAGTAAAATAGGGCACTGAATTTATGTCCAGTTAGGAACGTAGTCAAAGTTTAAGATGAGTGTGTTCAGACTCACTTTTCCCCATATTTCTACTATGTTTTTCAATTCTCAAATGTCTTCTGATAGAGTTGCATAAATGCTAGACTTGTGCAAAAATAAGTTTGGAGACATTTGTTTAAATCAAATTCCTTTTAATAATTTCATAATCTCAAACGAATTGATCCATCCAGAATTTACCTTTGGAGTCTTATTCAGTGAATATAGACGAACAACCCAGAATACATTTTTGCATTAGTTTAAAGGGACACTATAGTCACCAGAACAATTACAGCTTCACATAGTTGTTCTGGTGAGTATAGTCAGTACCTGCAGGCAATTTTTGGAGTGAACACGTTTTTGTTCAGAGAAAAGTCAGTATTTACATTACAGCCTAGGGACACCTCTAATAACCACTCCTTAGACAGTTACTTGAGGTGCTTCCTGTGGCAGTGCTGCACACATTCAGTGTCTCCACCCTCTACATGGAGACATTGAACTTTCCTCATAGAAATGCATTGATTCAGTGCATCTCTATAAGGAGATACTGATTGGCCAGCGTTGCATTTGGCTGCGCCCCTGCCCCACCACCTTGCAATCTCAGCCAATCCAAGTAGGTCAGGGGAAGAGCCAGCACCAGCAGACTGGAATAAAGGTAAAATTTATTAGAGGGGCTGGGGGCCAAGAGAGGTATTTTTAACATTATAGGGTAAGAAATACATGTTTGCGTTCTTGACCCTCAAGTGTTTTTTTAATTAATACAAGTATATGTAATCACTGATACTTTCTATCAAATCTGAATTTGAAATTAATGGAGTTTTATAAATTAACTCGTAGTGTGATTTTTTTTTTTTTTTTCGATTGCTTATGCCTTATAAAATATAAGGTTTTCATAAAATAATCCAAACAATGCACAAATACATGGAACTTTTCTTGAGATGTAAAGCAAATCCTGCCTGGATCTGTGATCATGTGAGATTCAAACCACAGTCTGTCGGCTTACTTACATTTATTTGTCTTGCAAATTACAAAATACAAATCTTAGATATAAATGCACCTATTTGCATGATTGCAAAGTAAAAATATTAGAATGAATTAAAATAAGCCAAACCTCAAAATGCACAGACTGGAGCAGTGCAGTGGGTAAAGATGGCAGGAATTGTACAGACGATAAATATTGATTCAGAATAAGTTACCAATGCGGCCAAGGTGCATTTCCAATTACAGCAACCCAATAAATAAACCATATCAGCCAAACATGAAATTGGAACACTGATATATAATAAAATACTTGCGGTTTCAAATGTGTGAAAGTTGTCCTAAATAGAGAATTATTAATTAACAGATGTGGGAAGAAGAATTGGCTGATCAAAAGCAAATTAAATTGTGTCAAACTGTTTACAGTCAAATTGATGTTTTGAATATTAATGTACCGGCAAAGATGCCAGCAGATATTTTATACCCTAGTACTCCATACAAATGTAAAAAAATGTTCTGTTTAAAAAATATATTACGTAACAAGTCTTTAGAGATGTCAGATAATAATTATTATCATTATTTAATTACTTTCTTTGCCAGAACTATAAACTGTCTAAAATGCTTTGCTATTGTTTTATATATTTATTTTTTTCTCTACTTATGGAACAAATCAGGCATGAAAAAGAGAGCTTTGCACAAAATATTTTAATATCAGTGGATTGCTATAATAGACTCTGTATCTCTGCAAATGTATGTTATAAAAAGGTTTTAAAACCAAGATCACATGAGTCACTATGAAGTTTCCTGGGAATTAAATCATATGCTTAGCAGCAGCAAGCATAGGGTCCAGCAGGGGCTAAAGGGATAAGTAGTTTATCTCCCACCCACAGTTGAGGTTATCAAGTTGGGTCTTTAGAATTTTATTATAAACTAAAAATAGCCATACTGATATCAGGTTATATAAAAACCAGTCCATGGTTTTGTGGACTATGCTCTGCATTGGTACAGCTTTGGGCCATGCATTGCAGTCTGCGGCTTAACTCTGTAGGGAGGAGAGAGTGCCTTCCTTGCTGTGTGTGTGGTTTGCATAAACCGCATACATAGATATAATTAGAGAAAATGTAAATATTTATAGATTTGATTAGAGATGGAAAGTATCACCAATTGTATATTGCAATATTTTACAATACACGATAATATATTAAGACTTGATAAGTAGAACTGGAACAGTGGAAAAATGCGCAAGCAGGTCCGGTGCAAGGATTTTTGCCACCCTTGGCAAAAGTAAAGTTTGCCGCACCCCCCCCCCCATGTGACATCACAATGCTCCACCCATATGATCTGCCATGTTAACTAACGCCAGTGTTGCAGTGCCGCCGTGTTTACATTATAAGGCATGCAGGGACAGGCTATAGACACCAGAACAACTACATTAAGCTGCAGTGGTTCTGGGGACTATAGTGTTTCTTTAATGTGAGGTAAATTAGAGATTAGTTCCACGAATAATATACTAGATTGCCTACTTACAACGAGATGAGGATGATGATGGGCTCTAGCTGGAGGCTGTTTGTAACTGTGGTCACAAAAATCAATGTTCTGGGAGAACGGGAAGCAGCTCCATTTTTTGGGGGCCCTTTACACAGCTCAAGGCCTGGGTCCCAGGGTCCACCTTCATGTTCCACCAATGAGTTTGTTCACATGGGGTGGAGTGTGTAAGGGATGTCCTGATATGTGTGTAAGGAATGCATTGTGTGAATCTGTGTTTCTATGTGTAAGGGCTGCAAGGTGTGTTTCTGTGTATGTACAGGATGCAGTGTGTGCGTGTGTAAGGGGTGCATTGAGTGTGTGTAAGGGGTGCATTGAGTGTGTGTAAGGAATGCATTGTGTGTTTCCCCGTCAATTTCTTCTCCCCCTGTCAATTTCTTCTTCTCCCCCATCCCCTACCAATTTCTTCTTCTCCCCCCTCCCCTACCAATTTCTTCTTCTCCCCCCTCCCCTACCAATTTCTTCTCTCCCCTCCCTCAATCTCCCTCCCCATTTCTTCTCCCTCCCCTACTTTCTTCTTCTCTCTACCCTCCCCATTTCTTCTCCCCCTCCCTACCAATTTCTTTCTTCTTCTCACCCTCCCCATTTTTCTCCCTCCCCCTCCCTCCCCTTCTTCTCCCTCCTCCCCATTTCTTTTCTCCCCTCCCTACCATTTTTCTCCCACCTCCCCATTTCTCCCCTCCCCTGCCAATTTCTCTTTCTTCTGCCAATGTCTTCTTCCCTCCCTCCCAATTTCTCTCCCACCCTCCCAATTTCTTCTCCCACCCTCCCAATTTCTTTCTCCTCCCCCCCACCTTTGTTGTAGCGTGGCCGAGCCCTGTATGATGATGGTCCGCAGGTACAGGTAGCTTTTGTTTCCTCAGTGTGCACTTCCTGTTAGTCCGGCCGGGTACAGGAGACAGATGCTCCCTGTACCCGCGGACCATACAGGGCTCGGCCACGCTACAGTGAGGGAGTGACAGGAGGGAGCGCTGAGTGCTCCCTCCTGTCAGCCCCTCTCCTCAGGCTGCGCCTGGGCGGTGCGGTCTGCCCTCATGGACGCACCGCCCGGGCAAAGCTGCAGCCGCCTGAGGCTCTCTACAGAGCGCTCGGGCAGCTGCAGCATAGGGGGCCGGCGCTCCTGGCGACGCCCCTTCCCAAGGGGCACCCTAGGCTGCTGCCTAGTCCGCCTAACAGGTAGCGCCGGCCCTGTGTGCAAGGCAGCCACACAGCCATTTGTTCACCAAGTATTACTGAGGAAGGAGTGAGCATTGTAATGGAAATTAAAGGTTTGAAAATTGTATTACTATTTTTTCTGATGAGTAATTTCTTATTACTCATATAATCTTTAATTACTCTTTTTCTTATTCTGGAACAAAATGGAGCATTTTAATGTGCCCATCAAAAACATGTCAATTCAAGTTCAGAGTCATAATTAAAGGGACACTCTCAGGGACAAAACTAGTAGCGTAATAAAGTGGTGCATAGATCATACTCCTGCAGTTTAACTGCTTAATTCTCTGCTGTGTAAGACTTAAATCACTTTGTTTATGCAGTCCTAGCCACATCTTCCCTTGTGTGAGTCATACAGCTTCAACAATAAAAAAAGGACCCAACTTTAAAGCAGAACTTAGTATACTGTATTTACTTTAGACATTCTAAAGTAAACACACTATGCAATAAGGGAAACTAAAAAACAAACAAACAAAAGTCTTTTCAGGAAGAGTGCAGGGAGGCTGTGTGAGTAACACCCAAGGGAGGTGTGGCTCAGGCTACATAAACAGCCCTAAATGGCAGAGAATAGAGCTGTGAGATTGCAGAAGCATGATCTATACAACAAAAGCATTTAATTAATGTTATGTTTTGGTGCTTAGTGTTGGATGGCTTTACAGGGATGTTTATAAAAATGTTCAGGGCTGTAATGTATAAATATAGGCAACAACCTGCAGCATTCCAACTTTCCTTCTTATATCAACAATATGAACACCTTAAAGTGACAATGTCATGCCGAACTTACTTTTCTCCTATTAATTCCTCCTGTCTACCTCTAACAGGATCTGTTCTTAATTTTTTCCTACCTGATCTAGTTTTCTTTAAAACTCGACTACTTTGTCATCTGTATTTTTTCTAAGCTTGACCATTTTTGACCCAAGGAGGAGCTTACGCCCGCTCTATTTCCTGTGGTCAAAAATTTTCCCACAATACTCACCCTTTCCACCGTGATCTTATTAATTACCAGATGTGGGAAGAAGAATTGGCTGATCAAAAGTAAATTAAATGTGTGAAACTGTTTACTGTTAAATTGATGTTTTGAATATTAATCTACTGGCAAACATGCCAACAGTTATTTCAGACCCTGTTACGCATCCAAATGTAAAAATTTGTTCTGTTTAACCCCATAATGCTGTTACGGCGTTCTATGCCGTCCCGCATTAAATGGGCTTTAAAGCCGTTGCGGTGGCATAGAACGCCGTAACGGCTTTGAGCCCTGGAGCCGCTGGGATACTTACCTTCCCGGCCAGCAGGGGGACTGTAGTGTCAGAAGTGTCAGACAGTCCCCCTGCTGGTGGAAGGTGTAAAAAAAAATTAATTAAACATGTTAAAATAAAATAAAAGTGTGTGTGTATATATATATATAATATATATATATATATATATATACACATCTTATATAAATGTAACGTGATACGTAATGTATTTTAATGTTAATATAAGTACATATATTAATCTTAAAATACACTTAGATTGAAGTTACATAAGATATATATGTATATATTTTATGTATAATTACAATAGTAAATAATAAAATAAATAAAATATTTTTAAAAAAATTTAAATAAATTATCTATACATAAGTAATCTCATTCTAACTGTATTTTGTTATTAATACATATATATTGGTAACAAAATACACTTAGAATGACATTCTATATATATCTGTCTATATATAAAATACAAATCACTGCAAATATTTATATATAGATAAATATATATATAATTACATAATTAACTACATAAGTATACATGTAGAATTTAAATACATATATATGTATATATAAAAATTCTACGTGTATGCTTAAGTAATATTTTAACATAATTATGTGATTTAATTAATCAAAATTTGATTGACGTGCCTGACAACCCAGGCAGCAAGTGCAGAGAATTAAATTCGCATGTGCTATATTTAACCCTGTAACTTTCCAAGACACCATAAAACTTGTACATGGGGGGTATTGTTTTACTGGGGAGACTTTGCTGAACACAAATATTAGTGTTTCAAAATGATAAATTGTATTACAACAATGATATATTTAGCAAAAGGTTTTTTGCATTTTTCACACACGAACTGCACTTTTACTGATGATATTATTGTTTTAATATGTTTTACTGTTTTGAAACACTTATGTTTGTGTTCAGTGAAGTCTCCCAAGTATAACAGTACCCCCTATGTACAGGTTTTATGGTGTTTTGGAAAGTTAGAGAGTCAAATATAAGGCTTGCATTTTATTTTTGTTTGTGACTAAGTGGCTACTATAAAAGACTGGACATACCCCACTTGCAATACCTTGGGTTGTCTTCTTTTGCAAATTGTATGCCATCATGGGGGTAAATCTCATTCCTGGGCTACCACACGGTCTCAAAGTCAACATAACCAACCTGGCGAATTTCAATTTGAAAAAACTGAAAAATGGAATGTGCTATATTTGACCCTTTAACTTTCCAAAACACCGTACAAACTGTTAATGAGACTTTGCTGAATCCAAATATGTGGTTTTTTTTGCAGTTAAAGCTAATGGTATTATGACATTTACAGCTAAAATGTCTGCAATTTTTTTCTTTAAATCTTAATTTCTCACATTTTTTTTAATTTTATTCATAATAAATTATGTTCCATATATGAATAGTTAATGGTAAATTAAAGCCCTGTTTCTCCGGAACAAAATGATATATAATAAGTGTGGGTGCACTTAAAATGAATGAGGTGAATTACGGTTGAACAGACATATAGCGCAAATTCCAGTTTTTGTTTGTTTTGTTTTGATCAGAACGTGCACTATTGACTCCGTCCTGAAGGGGTTAAAAAATATTCTACATAACATATCATATAGACAGAAAGCCGGCAAAACGACCGAATTTCGTCCTAACAGAATGAGTATTGTTTGTCCATTCGTGCGTTTTGTTGGGGTCCAAATTCCATTCTATTTTTAGGGTGAGAGGGGTAGGTAGGATTTTATTTTATTTAAGTGGGGATAACTAATGGTTTCAGGGGGGTAATTTTTACATTTAGCCCCCACCCATCACCCATGGGTGGGGGGGCAATAGGTCCTCCCCCCAATTGTCACTTGGGGCCACCACCCGCTGCTCATGAGTGGGAGTCAGGGGACAATAGGTCCTCCCCGATTGTCATTTAGGTCCTCCACCTGTTGCTCATGAGTTAGGGCCCAGGGAGGAGGCCCCCATTGTCAATTAGCGCTTCCGTCCGACGCTCATGGGTGGGGGCAAAGGGACAATAAATCCTCCCTATTGATATTTAGGGCCCCTATTTGCCGCTCATGGCCGGGGGCCAGGGGGACAATAGGTCCTTCCCCCACTGTCCTATAAGGCCCCTACACGCCGCTCATGGATGGGGGCAATGAGACAATAGGTCCCCCCTTTGTTACTTAGTTATTTTGTATAGGTGCCCAACCATGGGGCACTTTATTGGAGGGGGAGGTTCCACAGGTTGCTCACTGTTTAGTATGCATGCCTCTACTCCTGGCACAGCTAGTAGGGGCATTCAGGAGGTTTTAATCTCCCTTATGCTAACATTGGGGTCATACTGACCCCCCATAGAGTGAGGGGGGACATGGGGGGGGGGTTAGGAAGTGGTGGGGAGCACAGCTCTCTGCCCCTTCTATTTTTGTATATTACAAGGAGGAACTGTGAGCCGATAGCTCCCTCCTTAAAATAGACTGAACGAACATACAAATGAACACCGACATTCGGTCAAGGTTTGTTCTTGTGAAATTTCGATTAATTAATTTGTCTTTCTAACATATGAATGAATAGCTGAAATTCCCATCTGAATTTCGGACAATAGCAAATGCCCAATTGTTTAACTGGGCATGCGCAGAAATTTCACAGCGCTATCTAGTGTGGGCAGATGATGTGTCCCACAGGGCCTCCATCTGCCCACAAAAAGATGGTGGCACCCAGGAGGTAAAATGCCAAGTGGCATTTGTGGGTAACTAGGGGGATATTTAGATGTAGTGGAGTTGGTAGGGGGTTAAAAAAAAACAAAAAAACGGATGCAGCCATGACAGTGCCGCTTTAATTGCAGGCAAGAAAAGAAGTACACATAGCAGCACTTTTATTTACATATGTATATGTAATGGTGTTTGCCATGTCACTTGTACCAGCAGTAGTTGCACCTCATGACCATCAGACTACAGAAATAGAAAGAAAATTGGAAAGTTAAATTGCACTCTAAGCACATAAATACTACAGCCTACAGTAGTGGTAATGGTGTTTGGAGTATTCCTTGGGTCTTGGGTTGGCTTCTCATTTTGGCTGAGCAAGTTAGGCTGAAGTTGGAGAAGTTCAATGTGGTATGAGCAGAGGTTGAATAGGATTATGGATTAAGGAGCTAATAAATGATTTCCCAGAGGGAGAGAATAAATTATAAGTTTAAATGGAATTTAACACATTTCCAAAATAAGTCAAAGCTGAGAGATTACAGTGTGCCAGGTAAATGCTACCATACTTAAAATTAAACTTTTGCTACCAATGTTGCCTGATTGTGAAGATGTGTACTAAATGTCTTTTTAGAATTGGTTCCTTTTAACCCACTTCTCTTTTTCATATTACAAAAAACTGCAAAAAAAATTTTCATTGTATTTATTTATTTTTTGCCAGTCTTTACTTTTGGTATGCATGAGAATACACATAAGCGTGCAGAGTCACGAAAACTGCTGCATGCAAGGCAAAATATGACTGTATCATTGGCATGACAGAGATAACTTTGCAGTTTTAAAATAAAAAATTTAAATAAAGGGTTTAACATGAATAACCTATCAGACGGGTGACATGACCTAAAATAATTCTGAGTAAATATACTGGCAATGTGCCACTATTAGTGATAGAAAATAAACTGTGCAAGGCAAGTTGATTGAGATGTAGCTTGTAGAACTGAGGTCATGTATACTATTTGAGTGACAGGCTTATTATGTAGACATCATGGTGCTATAAAGCATAAATTAAGACATGCAGATACAATAAAATGCCAGAAGGGTTGTGATAGTGCTAGCCATAAGTGTTCATCAGTCCTCGACTCAGGAACGGGTGGAGGTAATAGAGAGGCACTGCAGGATAGGGGCAAAACATGACAACCTTTCAACCCAGGGCTGTAACAAGGGCCTGCATCTCGGGAACACGGACTCAGGTGTTCATGGCAAAGTCCATACCTGTCAGGGTACAGCAAAAGGTACAGATGTTCTTCCGCCTGCAGCATTAGGTCTTCTGACTCTGTGGTCGATGCTGCGGGCGTATGGTCCAACTGGCTCTGTGGCCCAGGCGGGCTATGGATGAAAGGCTTGGTTGCTTGTAGGGAAGTTGTGTCCATAAGGTGACCTCTCGCTGTTCTCCTCTCTTTTCTCCTCCACTGCTCTGAGCTAGTGTCACCATAATTCAAGACTCCAACTGCACCCAGAAGCGGTCACATATGTCATCAGGGCATTTCAATGCACGCCATGTTGGGTCTTCTCGGACAGTGTCTGCTTCTACATAAACACTTGCGTCTGTCAGGCCTCGCTCTTTCTGAATATGTCCCTGGGACAGGTCTGCAAACTCTGCTACTGTAATCCCTGAACAAACTAGACATGACACACAGTAGAACTAGCACCCAATATATAATTTTACTCAGGACTAGGCCCTATCCACATTACATTAAACTTATGGTGACACATTTATACATATACATTGCAACATCATATGGGGAATAATATATACACTCTTAACAATACCATACAATATTTTTAAGGGTGGGGAACACAAAGAGTAATGAGAAACACATCACCTGCCTGCATAAACCATAATATGTAAATCTACCTGAATATGCAAATTAACTAGCTTGTCTCTTAAGGTTGTACACATAATTGTTGCAAACAACATGGGGCACTGCACTGGCCCCACAGCTAAACAGGGGATAACACAAGACATTCCACAAACAACATATAATACACACTCTGCACCTATAATGGGCACTGGGTGACTTAAATATAAGAGTCATACAGGGACCTACATGAAGTGTCAGTCTTCTGCGCCCAGTGATGTTGACTACTGTCACAATTGCCAATGCCTTCCAGTTCCACCTACCCTGTCTGCCTGGTTGGTTTCCCCAACTTGATGACTTCCTTGTTGGTTACTCAATGTCCCAGCAAATGGGCATGTTGTGGGCCACTTGCCTTTTCCTGCTGTTAGTCTCTTACCAATATTTTTTTATTTTATTGGTATCTCTTCCAGATGTGTCAGTTTATTTTACTATTTTTTGTTGTTTTAGAGTTATTCACTTAGAATGTGAGTACCAGTGCATTCAAGCTCAGTAAATAACTTTAACATATGAGGACTTGGATACTGCTATAGATCAGATTGCACTGGCCTTAACACCATACACTTTCATGACAAATGTTTTTCTTTCATATCATTCCCTATGCACTCCATTGTATATTATGCAAACTATGATTGCTCTGTAGTTTTTTGCTTCTGCATTGCTAGCACCTGGGTTTCAAGTAATACTATCATAATTTGGCATACATTTACCTTCTCACGCAAAGTGCCTGCTTTATAAGTTATCACTGCATATTAATTTTTCAGTCAAATTACACTCTTATCATTCAAAGTTAGATTGTTTGCAGTATTACTGGTACATATTGGTACCCTTTACATCAGGGTAGATAATATGTCTAGTGTCTGAAAGTATTTTTCTTGAAATATAAAGGTCATCTGACTCACAGGATCTAGATTTACTTCAAAGAGCATACAATTTCATATATACATTGTGTAAGCCAACATTCTAATGTTTAGATGAAAAGTCATTATCTATTTGATGTTGTTTGATGCTCCTGGGCTTTACTGTAGTGAAGTTTGTATGTTGGTTGCCCAGCTGAAAATACCTTATCTAAAAGTCCCATCTGTCCTGATTTTGGTGGTACAGCCATATATAGGGATTCTGTCCCCCTCTCCCGAGTTGGCTCCCTTGGTTACCAAGATGCTGTCCTCAACCGGCAAAGTGAAAGCATATCATTAGACGCTGTATTGAAGGCACTAGGACCGTGTAGAAAGCATTTCAGCGACGTTCTGTGTATAAACAACGCTGATTGTGTGCATGCCAGTCTGACATGCTCTTTCAAGCTGACACACTCATTAAGGACTCACCCTCCCCATCCCATTTACATACTTCCCAAAGTTGGGAGGAATTCCATGAGCAGTAGTGCTAGCTGCTACACTGGTCTCAGTGATGTAGCCACATCACACAGCTTAAAGCATCCATATAATTTTGGATGACCACTGTGTATTCTGGTGGTGGGTTGGCTGCGTTGTCCAACATGCTATCCATGGAAAAATTCTGTGGACAGTGAACTTCCTATAACTGATTAGCATAATTAAACACATATACAATCGTTAATTTTCACAGTCAATTACATTATGAGTCTAAACAATGTTTAAAAACTGCCACTTTTCAGTAAATATAAATATATGGACACAAAAAAAAACTGTTTCGAATTTGAATTTGCTGATAAGAGGTAATGCATACAATGTATAAATTACTAAACTTTCATTTGATGCGTTGCTTCTCTGCAGACTTCCTTTATAGTCTCCTAATACAAATATAATATAAAACAAATGGGGATACAGCACTCTACCTAAGAATATAAATAAGACAGTAGTATAGATCAGCCAGTACAATGGAGACCCTAAAATTATATTGCTCACAAAATAACAGAAGGTAAGCAGTGTCTCAAGTCCTCTTGCAGCTGCAACATAGTGCAATAATAGGTTTTATTCCATTGCTGCCACATATGGATAAGCTTTAATCTTCAGCATATAAGTACAAATAATGCACCTCTTACTGCATATATGTCATACAATAAAATATAATTTATTACTGAAAAGCAACCACAATCAGGTTTTAATAATTCTTTGACATTAAAGTGCTGTTTTTTTTCTCTTAATACATGTTTTGTCCTGTAAAAATGATTTCTTCAAGGGCTATCACAATGGAAGTTCAACCATAGAAAACATACAAATTAATTTACAAAACAAAGTACAAATTGCTCTGCCTGACTGTCAGTAGATGGCCCATGCATAAGATTTGCATTTATGGTTATGTTTGCTTCTGTCCATTGCCTATCCACCATGGTTCCTTTTACTTATCTGCTCTGTGCACTCAATCATTGTCTCTATTAGGACACATTGACAATTTTTTTTCCATTCTATACACCACCTGTGGTGTGCCTCCTGGGGCAGTGCTGCACAGTGTGCATGGAGATGCTGAATTTCTCTCATAGAGATGCATTGATTCAATGCAGCTCTTTGAAGAATCATAAATTCTAATGATGTAAGCAAAGAGGTGGTTCAGAGAGGGGACAGCATGGCATTGGAAATAAGGTAAGTTTATTGCCTTTTAAGGGGAAAAGGGCGGGCAAGCCACCTATATGGTGGTTTTAACACTTTAGGGTAAAGAATACATGTTTGTGTTCCTGACCCTATAGTGTTCCTTTAATGTGTGCCTGCCCTTATTGCCACTTTATTAAGAGACATATTACTAGACATGCAGTGCTGGGATTGGGGGGACATATTTTCATCAGACACGGAGCGCTTGCATTTGAGAACACATTATCAGAAAGAGAGTGTTGTCTTGTGATTGAGAGGACTTTGTTGTAGTCCATATGCTCAAACGTATATTAAAGGCACACTCCAATAGAAACTGTTTAATTGTATTGAAAACATACATGCATTTTTTTAAATGGGGTATGTCTAAGAGGTTGCAGATTTCTTGTCTACTGCCTTAGCAAACCCTCCACTTCTAACCAAGCCCAGACTTCATGTGGCTGTCCAGCCCCAGACTTCCCAATGCATCTCAATGAAAAGCCATTGTAAGGCAGGTGCTCTGGGCAATTGATGCTTCTTTAGTTGAGTAAACAACCATGAAGTAACATGACATATGCATAGTCACCATATGCGTGATAAACCCCAACTCGAATACTCGGACACCTTTATTTGGGAAAATTATCACAGCTTTATTAATAAATAAAGTTCAAATATTTTAGGGTCATTGTCACATATTAACATAACATATCCCCCCCAAACTCCTTTAATAATACTACGCCAGACAATGACCCACAACACAATAAGTAAAACCACATTTTAACATATAATAACACATAACATAACCATTGCCACAGAGGGCATGACATAACCATTGCCACCGAGGGCATGGTTTTCAGCTTTCTTCCATGCAGGGGCATACTGAGATACACCCTACATGCCAGGTTTGGAGCTACCGACGAGCTTGAACCTACCAATCCTCTTCCACACCAAACAGTCCATGTAAGGGCATACCGAGATAAACCCTACACACACCAGGTTCACAGCTATCGACGAGCTCGAACCTACCAATACTCTTCCAAACCAAACTGTTCTTAGCAAACCAAAACTATTTTCCATTAGGAAAAACAACTTACACCCAAACTTCTCTATCCACCCCCCGCCATAGTTCAGAGCTCAACACCTTGAGCTACCTGAGCACCCCCCACCAAAACAACGCTCATTGTAAACCTTCCTGAACCCTAACAACAAGACGTCCATACCAACCTCTGACAGATGCACTCCATCTTGCCTGTAATAACCCACCAACTGCGCTTCCAACTCCCCATGCCCTACCACTCTTTCCCTCAAGCTCCTCACATAAGTTTTATTTTACCGTCCCCCTACTTGTTGACACCAACTGATGGTCCCTAGCGTGTTGCCATTGAGATCACAGTACGATCTCTGACTATAAGACAACCCCGTCAGGGACCATCTGCCTCGACCCATCCAAATCTTTCTTCAGCTCTGTGAGCAAAGCCCTCTGCGAAAATAGGCCTCAGTCCTTCCCCACCAGCATGAAGCAAAACAATGTTAGGTAATTTACCCACTCTGAGCCTTTGGAATAGCTCTAAGTATACACTGTGCCAACTGCAACCCTTAAAACCAAATTACTCCATCTGCACCATTGAGCACAGCCATATGCCTTGACGATAAACTGCAGCTCTCCTTTGCGCCGAGTACACATATGAGTATCCCATCACCCATGCAATCCAACCTGCGGAAGAAAAACACATTGTCCACACAGAACAATGATCACCATTTCAACCAGACTTAAACTGATTGGTTGGGCCTCACCTATGACCTGAATGTCACCGATTCCCACCTCCCGATCTACTTGACCGGTAAACCCCCAAACAGAGCTGCCTCAATTGAAGCTCCAATACCAAAAGAATGTGTGCCGAACTGTAATGGACCCAGGCCCACATGCCCCAAGACCAATCAACAAACCTTAAGAAACTGAACTGTGTAACGAAGGACCATTGGCTTGTAATAAAAAGAACCGCCTCTCCCAGCACGAAATGCCACTGGACATGCTCATACCTTGCACCGAAAACAGCACAAGTGCTGCTCTACCCTAATGCGTTGGTTTGGGAATGGTGGAGATATCGCACCACCCGATTCTGCCACAGTTCCACGTCCGGACACTGTAACCCACCTCTGCCCGTGCGGTTGCTGGTCACCAACACCTTTATCTTCAACGCCCCAAAAAAGTGCCCAATGAAACACCACTGAAAACAGCACAACCTAGCATTCCAAAAAAAAACCTCCGGCAGCATGCCAAGTAAGACTCGCAGAATCTCGAAGGATACTGGCCTGCACGAATCCCACGATAACCTGCCTGTCCAAAACCCTTTAATGGCCAGACGCACTAGGAAGTGCTTGGTTAATTCTTCCCACCCATTAAGCATAAATAAAACGCCACCGCTGACCTGTTATGCCCTACCACTGGCGGAGACACCCCTGCTGCAAATAACCCAGAAAGAAACAATAACAAAGTGTTGAACCAAGCTGTGCCAGGTCTTGTCCACTCGCACACACCATTGTGGCAACCTATTTGTGCCAAACCTTGATGTAGGCCACCCATGTGGACGGCACCAATGACCCCCTTTATGAGACCGCCAAGCAAGAGGTTCCATTAACCGCCTCAACCAACGACCCGTTGTCGGTGCAAAGATTAACATCCTGACCCTCATTTGTTGTCCCCTCAATGCCAACGCCACCATTAAAGGAAAGAGTTCCACAAACACCAGGTTGCAAATGAGCGGGTTGGCCTTCTACTCATGCAGCCGGGGTGCTGCCCCCCCAGTGCCACGCAAATAAACCCCAAACGCAATGCTGCCGAATCCGCCCATAAGCAATTCCAGAGCAGATGAAGAAGCCGCCCATAAAGTCCCTTAGTGGCCTCAGACCTGCCACACATCCAGATCAAATGACATGATGCGGTGACGCTACCCCGCTGGTTGCCCTGGAGAGGGACCTATTGGGAAATTGAGCCGATGCACCAATGACTAACACACCCGCAAAGTAACCTTCTTCGCTTCCCGGACCTCCGCCCGCAGTGCCTGTAAATAGTTCTCTGTCCACCGACAGTGCCTCCGGCCCAAATCTTTCTCCAAGCTTAGGAAGGACAAGCAAGTTGTTGGCCCCACTGTCCTGTCGCCTGCATGACCCCCCACCGGTGACAGCTGCAATACGCCCATCGGGGGCCCTTTGAATGGCCTCGCCCTCCTCCCTGACTGTACCTCTTTGAACCATTTCTCCCGCACCACCTCCACCCACAGATTTCAGATTTTGTAGATTGCAAACCCTGTCGCCTTGCCAAAACAGACAACCCCGTCGTAAACCCGTCCCTCAACAGCACAGCGTCCTCCTGGTTACCATAGCAGCTTAGCCACGGTAACAGCGCAACGACCTTCACCGGCGATCACCCCAGTGGCAAGGGCACACCCAGAGCACCTGGCATCCCCTCCATGGAGGAGGACTTACCCGTCTTGGAGCAGTGGTTGTACCCATGCGCGTCTCCACCCCGGAACACTCGCATTTCCCAGATTGACCAAAAGCCTATGTCGAAATAGTCCATCGTACCACCACCACGCCAAGCCCCTGTTATGCGTAGTTCGCCTCCCAGATCCCCATCCAAGTAACAGAGCAACTGTGAGCACCGGATTACTCCCCCACAATGTTCCCCAGAGTACCACAAGCACACAAACCAATTCCAGAAAGTTTTGGGTCTTTGCCGATAGTGGCGCCTTTTCCCTACTTCTTACTTTCTGGCATTTTTTGCATCCACCTCCGTCAATTCTATGTATTCGTCCACAGGAGGAAGTGAAAAGATCTCCAGAAATTCCCCTTTCCATATCCTCACCCTCACCTCCGGTTCAAGCAGACCCCCAACGGCCCTGCAAAGTAGACGTAGACAGTCTGCCTAGCTGTGTCCAGGATGTCCCTAGTTCTGCCCTCTCTCCTGCCTAGTAGCCCAAACCTGCCCAAAGGTAACACCTCCCCCGAACCTCGCTCCATGAGTCCAGAAAAAACTGTAGACCCTCTAAAAGGTCCCTGGAAGGTTTAGCAGAATACAACTCACTGTCCGAACCTCTTGCTGCCGAAGGCCATGTCCCTCATGATGTCGTCCAAGCCCAGGCACGACGGCCCCTCCAGCCGTAGGTCCGCTTCCCGAGGCCTCACTTGGACCGTGGGTGACTGTCTTGTTGACTGGCCCTTGGGGACCCGTCATTTCCTGCAACTGCGCCGTCCCGTTCACAGCCCGAACGTTTGTCAATTTCCACTCATTTGGTAGATTCGCTGGTTACCCGTTCGTGGCCCGATCGACTGGCCGTGAGTGACTGCACGGATTCGCGGCCCGAACATCCTAGCACAGCCGTATTCGTGGGAACCCATCCAGGAGGACAGGGTTTAGTCCTCCTCTAGTAGACAGCCACTAGAGGAGGACAACCCTGCAATGTAAATATTGCAGTTTATGAAAACTGCAATAATTACACTTGCAGGGTTAAGGGTAGTGGGAGTTGGCACCCAGACCACTCCAACAGGCAGAAGTGGTCTGGGTGCCTGGAGAATCCCTTTAAGATGGCCACTGATGTATAATGGCCACTATATATACTCCTCTAACACAAACCCCTCCTCCAGTTATGCTCCTATGCCTGTCTCCTAGCAATATCAAGGCCCATTCCCCTTAGTTGTGTTGCTCCATGGGCTACAGGACCGGTTGTCTGATTCAACAAGCTAAAGTGCATTAGGTGTGTGTGGACTATACCTTTAATAAAACCCCTTTCATAGTAGAATTTCTTAAGTAGTTCTTCCACAGTGTGGGAAGCAGAAATTGTTTCTTAATTGTTTACTGTTTATGTACTCTATGCAAACCATAAACTGGGTATGGAAAAGAGGCAGGTATTGGGCAAATAAATCCTACAATATAGAGAAAAGGAGGTAATGATTACAAAAGCATTGTTTATCATTTTTTAAATACCCCCATGTAAAACAAAAATTGATTTACACTTTGTCTTGTAGAAAATTAGAATGAAAACAGATAGTGATATCTATATACTCTCCTGTATAAAATAAAATGCACTTTAACTCTTTTTGGGTGAACATAAAACCTTAAACAAAATGCTTTGTCAGCAAGCATTAAAAAATATTAGCACATACCATTTTAAAAATATTTACGTGCTTTATGTGCTGTATATTTTGATTTAATCTTTGCTAGTTCAGATCAATCTTCTAGTTTTTCCTAACTGCACAGCTATTGGACAAGATGAGAAATGTCACTTCCAGCTAGGAGAATAACAAAAAGTATATTGCAGAAAAGATATGCTATTTGCCTGTTCAATATAATGGATTACATTTCCTATCTCTGGATTTGTGTTGACTGAATGTTAGAATATAGTCACAGACTACTGGAAATTTCCAGTCCTGGAAATGGAAAACAGCAAGTGATTTGGGATAATTCACTCAGCTCCATATTCTTTTTTTCATTCAAATGTGGCAGTCAACATGGAACGCTAACTGGCTGAGTTTATGTTTATACGCCAAAGGATTTCTAGCAATCCTCATTAATATAGTAATCCACCTATTTATCAAGAATGTTTGATATATTGGAACATTTCAAAATATGTGTTTGTAAAATTTTATAAAATTATTAACCAATCTTTAAAGGAACACAAATGTGTATTCCTAATGCCATCGTGCCCTGTTGAACGTTTAGGTCCCCAGACCCCACCTGTAGTGCGTAAAAAAGGTGAGTTTACTTTACTGGTCTCCACGCTACTGTCCCACCTCCTTGGCTGGGATCATTGAGTTCGATGATCTCAGTCAATCAATGTTATCCTGTAGGAAATCATTATGAAGTTTATGCAGATTGGCAATGTTTGGGTGGTTTGGGTGCCTATAATGTCTTTCTAATGCATATGAATTATCTTTTTCCCCCCATTATTTTTGCTACTGGTTTAAATTCAAATGCAAAGTTTTCACTAATCACTTAACAGTTTTTAATGGGACACTATAGTCACTAAAACAACTTTAGCTTAAAGGACCACTCCACAGGTCCAAAAAACAGTTTAGTAGATACACCCCAAATGAATAAATGCATGCATAGTTTCATATATGTATTAATTGGGAGTATAGTCTAAAAGAGATTACAAAAGCTGCAGTTCAACTGCCGCCTTTGTAAACCCTTTCCTTTTTTCCCGGAAGAGGCTTTCAGTCTCTTCACAGGAAAATAACCAATGAGAGACCTCTGAAATTATCTTCAGATGCACACACGCACCGGCACATGCATGTGCACAGTTGTGTACATGTGTTCCGACTCGTACACATTAAACTGGGGTTAAATGAGGGTACTCCTCACCCATCAATCACTTCAGTAAGCTGAAGCGCTTTTAGGTTGTGGAGTGGTCATTTAATGCAGCTGCTTTTGTGTATAGATCCTGCCTTAAAGGACCACTATAGTGCCAGGAAAACATACTCGTTTTCCTGGCACTATAGTGCCCTGAGGGTGCCCCCATCCTCAGGGACCCCCTCCCGCCTGGCTCTGGAAGGGGGAAAGGGGTAAAAACTTACCTTTTTCCAGCGCTGGGCGGGGAGCTCTCCACCTCCGATCCGCCCCATCGGCTGAATGCGCACACGCGGCAAGAGCTGCGTGCGCATTCAGCTGGTCGCATAGGAAAACATTCATAATGCTTTCCTATGGACGCTGGCGTGCTCTCACTGTGAAAATCACAGTGAGAAGCACGCAAGCGCCTATAGCGGCTGTCAATGAGACAGCCACTAGAGGATTTGGGGGAAGGCTTAACCCATTCATAAACATAGCAGTTTCTCTGAAACTGCTATGTTTATAAAACAATGGGTTAACCCTAGCTGGACCTAGCACCCAGAATACTTCATTAAGCTGAAGTGGTCTGGGTGCCTAGAGTGGTCCTTTAAGTTTCACTGTTCAATTCACTGCCATTTAGGGGTTAATTCACTCTTGTTCCTGTTTATGCAGCCTTGCAGTGACTGACATAGCCTGCATAAAAAAAAGGTTACATTTCCAATCACATGTAACTTAGTTTAAAAGTGTTTATTGAGCAGGGCCCTCAACCCCTCTGTTCCTGTGTGTCCAACTTGTCTGGTTACAACTACATGTCTGTTCGTCCACCCATTGTAAAGCGCTGCGGAATTTGATTGCGCTATATAAATATCATAATAATAATAATAATAATAATAATAATAATGTAACTCCTAAATGGCAGAGAACTGAGCAGTGAGACTAAAGGTTCATGATCTATACACAAAAACTGCTTCATTAAGCTAAAGTTTTTTTGGTGATTAGAGTGTTCCTTTAAATTAAAGCATTGATTACTGAAACAGAGGAACTTTATACACTAATAGCTAATAGTGGCAGCAATGTCTTTAAAAGTTCCTTGGGATTCTCTTCCAAATAGACAAGGTGACTGTTGAGCATCAGTTGTAAATCATTATACATCTGGTTCCTTTCTTTTTGGCTATCTTGTGTTTGAGAGCAGTATATACTGGAGTTGTAGGTGGTGGTTTAGCTTAAATGAGCACTCCAAACCCCTAAAGCAATTCAGCTTCCTGAAGTGCCTTAGGGCTCCATAGAGTGTCATCTTCTTGTCACTATATATAAAAGTGCTGTTAAGAGAAATCAGCACTTTCATTAAACTGACAAGGTGACACCCTGCCGTCTGTCAGTCAATGTTCTTTTCCTGTTCACTATGTGCTCCAATACATATCAGAATGCTTCCCCTGCTTTGCTATGAGAAGCATCTAAATGGCTGGGTGATATTATCTCCTGGTTGGAGAAAAGACCTGAATGTGGAGAAAAATGTCTCACTCTTAGATTATAAGTAAATTAACACTTTATTTAAAATAATTGGGAGTGGCAAAGAAGTCCCATGAGATTGCTCAGCACTTCTTTATAAATACATGTATTTTATCCATTATACCATTATTCTGATTTTGATAAGAATCCTGTGTCTTTAACCACAATATAAAAAGACAATATCTTGGTACGTGTATTCAGTAGTGGCATGTAAATAGTAGTGGATAGTGAGGAACAACACTCCGCTTTAGAAACAAAATGCTTTCAAAAAGATTCAAACTGTTTAAGCTAGACAAAATGATAAAACAAAAGATATTATTTATCAATAAAAATAATATGAATTATGTGCTATTACAGGTTTTTGGAAAAAAACCCACTCCAGAAGATGATGTTTGCTTTGTGGACATTGCAGCAGATGACCTCCCAGAAGGTTATTACAAAAAATCAGAGGTAAAATATTTTTTAGTTTTTTTTAAATAATATTTTTATGGTTTTTTTTTTCCATTCATGTAAAAAGTACATGCAAAAACATTCAATTCAGATACAAACACTGACATAACAAATCACATTACAACTGAGAGGAGTATTGACCGAGCCCCCTGAAAGGAATATCTGTTTCCCATACATTAATTAACTAAATATCATTAAGGGACACATACTTGTACCCTTATGGAAGTACAAGTGACGTGCAGTCACTTCCTCCCAGCTCTGTCTGACATCATCACAGGGGGTCTGGTCGAGCTGTTAATGCGCCCAGCACTGACCGGGACCTCTGACAATTGTCTCCATCGAGTGGCCCTGACAGCATGGGCCACCCGATGGACCCCTTAATATGCAGCCCCGGTGGTTTGCCGCGTGGGCCGGGGATGCAAAAGATGGTGACAGCTGGTACCCAGTCGCAGGGGTCCACAGGAGGCTTCGAACCCGTGCAACCTCCCACCCAAGCAAAGGAGCCTCCCCGGCTTCCTGAGCCCATAACACCCATCCAAACAAGTGCTTCTGTCACCTGGGTCTCCTTGGTTTCTCCAACCGGCCAAGGAGTGAATTGTCCACTGGAACCGTCGGGGCTCTGCTTCTCGGGACCTGCTGGGGTCGTGGCTGGCCTCTGGAGAGGAGAGCCTGCTGCTCTCTCCCCCTGGCTTTCACCCAGCTGCTGCGTGATGTTGGCTGATGTGAAGTGGGGAGTGATGCGCCCTCCAGTAGCAAGTTATATGCCTGCAGGAGTTTTGTGAGCAGTTCAGGTAAGAACGTTTTTTAATATAGAAGCGGGAGGCTGTCTGGGCCCGGGGATCAGCCTGGTTGTGAGGTTTTGATGGCATATGCTAGTTCCTCTGATGTTATGGGGGCCTCTAGCGATTCAACGTCCTGGTCTTCAAAGCAGGTCAGGTTGGCTGAACTTAGATAGTGCTTGATTTCTGCCTCTCGCTCTTCTGTGTGGGGCCGATAGTTATCCGTGTGTATATTCTAGAGGGTGTTGTAATATTGGTGGACTATGCGGGAGATCTGGTCTGGAAGGTAGTGCATGGTCTGTGATGTGTCTTTGATATTAGAAACATAGAAACATAGAATGTGACGGCAGATAAGAACCATTCGGCCCATCTAGTCTGCCCAATTTTCTAAAAACTTTCATTAGTCCCTAGCCTTATCTTATAGTTAGGATAGCCTTATGCCTATCCCATGCATGCTTAAACTCCTTTACTGTGTTAAGCTCTACCACTTCAGCTGGAAGGCTATTCCATGCATCCACTACCCTCTCAGTAAAGTAATACTTCCTGATATTATTTTTAAACCTTTGTCCCTCTAATTTAAGACTATGTCCTCTTGTTGTGGTAGTTTTTCTTCTTTTAAATATAGTCTCCTTCTTTACTGTGTTGATTCCCTTTATATATTTAAATGTTTCTATCATATCCCCCCTGTCTCGTCTTTCCTCCAAGCTATACATGTTAAGATCCTTTAACCTTTCCTGGTAAGTTTTATCCCATAATCCATGAACCTGTTTAGTAGCCCTTCTCTGAACCCTCTCTAAGGTATCAATATCCTTCTGAAGATACGGTCTCCAGTACTGTGTACAATACTCCCAGTGAGGTCTCACCAGTGTTCTGTACAATGGCATGAGCACTTCCCTCTTTCTACTGCTAATACCTCTCCCTATACAACCAAGCATTCTGCTAGCATTTCCTGCTGCTCTATTACATTGTCTGCCTACCTTTAAGTCATCAGAAATAATCACCCTAAATCCCTTTCCTCATATGTTGAGGTTAGAACTCTATCAAATATTCTGTACTCTGCCCTTGGGTTTTTACATCCAAGATGCATTATCTTGCACTTATCCACATTAAATGTCAGTTGCCACAATTCTGACCATTTTCTAGTTTACCTAAATCATTTTCCATTTGGCGTATCCCTCCTGGAACATCAACCCTGTTACATATCTTAGTATCATCAGCAAAAAGACATACCTTACCATCAAGACCTTCTGCAATATCACTAATAAAAATATTAAACAGAATGGGTCCAAGTACAGATCCCTGAGGTACCCCACTGGTGACAAGTCCAAGCTTGAATATATTCCATTAACTACAACCCTCTGTTGCCTGTCACTCAGCCACTGCCTTACCCATTCAACAATATTGGAATCCAAACTTAAAGATTGCAGTTTATTGATAAGCCTTCTATGTGCAACAGTGTCAAAAGCCTTACTGAAATCTAGGTAAGCAATGTCTACTGCACCACCCTGATCTATAGTTTTAGTTACCCAATCAAAAAATCAATAAGATTAGTTTGGCATGATCTCCCTGAAGTAAACCCATGTTGTCTCTGATCTTGAAATCCATGTGTTTTTAGATGTTCATCAATCCTATCCTTTAGCATGGTTTCCATCACTTTCCCCACTACTGAAGTAAGGCTTACTGGCCTATAGTTGCCCGACTCCTCCCTATTACCTTTCTTGTAAATGGGCACAACATTCGCTAACTTCCAATCTTCTGGGACTACTCCTGTTAACAATGATTGGTTAAATAAATCTGTTAATGGTTTTGCTAGTACACCACTAAGCTCTTTTAATAGCTTAGGGTGTATTCCATCAGGTCCCATTGACTTATTTGTCTTTACTTTTGACAGTTGAAATAGAACCTCTTCCTCTGTAAACTCGCGTGTAATAAATGACTCATTTATCCTTTTTCTCAACTGAGGTCCCTTTCCTTCATTTTCTTCTGTAAATACAGAACAAAAATATTCATTGAGACAGTCAGCCTGACCTTTATCCTCTTCTACATACCTTCCTTCTTTTGTTTTTAATCTAACTAATCCTTGTTTTACTTTCTTTTCTCATTTATGTATCTAAAAAATGTTTTATCCCCCTTTTTTACTGACTGTGCTATTTTCTCTTCTGTGTGTGATTTGGAAGCTCTTATAACTTGCTTAGCCTCTTTCTGCCTAATCTTATAGATCATTTTGTCTCCCTCACTCTGGGTTTTTTTATAATTCCTAAATGCTAACTTTTTGTTTTTATGTATGTATGTTTATGTTTTTGTTTTATGTATAGATGCGTCTTGCATCATCTGAGCAGGTACACCAGTGGGCGTCCGCATTTGTTTCCGTGTTAATGGATCATGGATTGGAAGTGCAGGAATGAACGATTGATGGATTGGTTAATTAAGGTCGAGAGCCATTTCAGGAGGAGGTCTCTGTAGGTCTCTTTTGCCAGTGTTTGTTTGTGAAGCCTCTCTAAGTCCGCAATGTCCCTGCTCAGGTCAATAAGGGATCGGGTCCTTTCGCATTTCCTTGCAGAGCATTTCGCGATGAAGTATCTGTGAAGCACAGTCTTATGTGCCTCCCAGGCCGTCATGGATGATACGTCCGGGGTGTCATTGGTGGTGAAGTAGTCCCGTAGTACCTGCTTCATATCTCCGACTAGGGAGGGGTCCAATAGAATCGTTTCGTTCAAGCGCCATGATACCGAGCAATGGTCGAACAATGTCATTGATAGAATGTCTGATCCTTTGAGTAGGGGGAGGCTCAGAAATGGTACAAGGAAATAGTCCAATCTTGTGTATGTGTCATGTGTGATCGCGGAATGTGTGGTTGATCTTCCTCTGGCAATCTGCGAGTTGGTATTCATGGAGCAATCTCAGCATCCGGGCGTACCTGTTTTCCGGTCGTGGAGCTGTGGTCGAGCATGTGTCCCAAGGTGCCTTCTTGAAAGAGCATTAGTTTACGCAGTACTTTGCGGAGGAATACGCGTTGTCCCGTGTTGGGGGCGTATAGGTTGGCGAACATGTACTTTTGGCTTTGTATCGTGCTCTTGGTGAAGAGGTATCTTTCTCCTTGGTGTTTGTGGGTGGCTTGTTCGGTGTATGTGATTCTCCTGGAGAACAGGATTCCCACTCCCCTGGATCTTCTCTCCATGTTGTTACTAAACAGTCCTATTGGGAAGTGGCAGTCCCTTAGAGTCGGTGCCCTTCCCTCTTGAAAGTTTGTTTCTTGGAGGAATACAACCATCACTTGGAACCTCTTTAGGTCTCGCAGTAGGTGCGTTCATTTTTCATGTACATTGTGATGAGGGTCATGTCATCCTGGGCGTAGTGGATGTTTCCCGGGGGAGGCATTGTGTGATCTCTCCTCTGCGGCTTCATTCTTAATGTTGTAGGTAGAGCAGGGAGAGGAGCAACCACCTGCTCCAGGATGGGGAATATATGGAGAAGGGGAGCAGGGACAGAGATGTGGAGGTAGAGGAGGGAGAGGAAAGAGAGTAAGAGGCAGTGTATGTGGGTCAACGGGCAAGAGTCTGAGTTTGGTTGCACGTGTTGAGTGAGCAGGAACTAGTGTTAGAGGTAGTTGGTATATGTGTCATCTACTGTGGGTGGTATTGTGCAGGTTTGCTTGCTAGGTGGGGTGCTGGGAGCTTTCATGTTCTCGCTTTCCCTTTCCCAATTTGCCATGTCTTTCTGGCTACCCTTCCTGTTTCCTCTTCACTCTAGTACATTTTATTGGGTTTGCCTCTCTTTCCTCATCCTTTTTTTTTCTCCCCCTTCCCTGCTCCTGTTTAAAGTGCGGTTATTTGATCCAATAGTTCTCAAAAAATTTACTTCTTTTATTCTGTCTACTTTGTTAGAAAGCAAAATCCCCAAATAAACAAAACTCTCCTTTACTTCAGTGAACTTATACATTTTTATATCACAGTTCTTAAACATTGCCACAGTCTTCTCTATGTTTATTTTATAGTTTGAGATGCTACTAAAAAGTAATATTTCATTCATTAAATATTTAAAAGAAGTAAAATGGTCAAAGTTATTGTGTAGTTTCATCAGCATACATGCAAATCTTCAAATCCTTCACAGTTGTTGGAACTCCTCTAATAAATGGGGTTGTTCTTATTTTTACAGCATTATGCCTTGATATATTGATTTAATTGCTGATGACATACATCTACAAAAACCAAAGGATTCCAATACTTTTTAACATATATCCCCAACCAACCCTGTCAAAGGCCTTCTCTGCATTCATTGACAGGGTCAGAATGGAACAACCACTATTCTGCCCCCAATCCAATACATTAACCAGATGTCTAGTGTTAAGACTTGCTTGTCTATTAGGGACAAAACCAATCTTATATTCATGCTTAGAATCCACATTTATCAAGGAAATCGGACAATAGATTTTAATTTCCTATCTTTTTTCAAAACTGATAATATATTTGCACAAAGCAATTCCCTTGGTTCAACACCCTTGTCAACTATCTCATTAAATGTATCAGTTAGATGGTCACTCAATAAATCCTATAAAATATGTTAGTCAGACCATCTGGTCCGGCGTTTTAAAATTAGCAAGTTTTATTTTGTGCTTGTGTAATTCTGGGAAAATATATTTCCTTTAGATAACTAGTTACCTTTTGTTCATCAAATCGGTTTGGTATGTAATATAAATCATAATAATATTCTTGAAAGGCCTTGGCTATACTTTCTGGATTCCTATATTTTATCTGAGCTTTGTCAATACATATTATTCTATTATTCCCTATCCTCCTTTTTAATGTTTTTGTTAACCATTTTGAAATCCTATTATTATCATAATAAAAATTTACTTTCAACCTCTCCAAATTTGTATTCATTGTTTCTAATTCTATTGCATTTTTTTAGTTCACTTAGTTTATTTAACGTTTCATCAGTCAAATAATTTTTGTTTTTTGCAGATTATCTAGAATATTCTGTGTATAACTCCGCTCTAGAGGCAAATTTTTTGTTTATTTATCTTACTTTTAAGTTTTATTAAATATCCTCTTGACACAGCTTTGAAAGCACACCATATCATTGTATAAGACATACCTTCTGTACTGTTTTCTTTAAAGTATAATTCCATAAGATGTTTAATAAAGTCTTGATTCTCTTTTTTGTCAAGTGTACGATCATCTAAACGCCAAGTACTAAATGGTTTATATGTCTTCGTATCCTTCAAAGCAAAAAAAATATAGCTATGATATGCCCATGGATTATCCTTTATCAAAATGTTTTGAGTCTGTTCTACTAATCTATTCTCCCCTAGAACTAAATCAATTGTTGAATAAGAATAGTGTACCCTGGAGAAGTGTGTATATTTAATTTCCATTGTATGGTAAATTCGCCTAATATCTAATTATTTTCTTTCATAATATTTCCTAGAATATCAGATTTGTTTTCATTATTTTGTTATTCACCTTATGATTGTCTTTGATCTTTTTATCTAATACTATATCTGGAACACAATCAAAGTCTCCAGCAATAACCAGTATTTAACTTTTTCTAATTTCTTAAGTTATTTAGTTGGCAACATGTTTGGCAAATAAAGGTTAACAAATGTATATATTTGAGAATTTAGTTTACATATTAGAATTTGAGATCTTCCCTCATTATCCAACTCTGAATATATTGTTTCTTTATGGAGCATTTTAGAAACAACAATGGCAACTCCTCTTTTTTTCTTCCCATTAAAGATGCATGTATAACTTCCTCAAATAGCTCATCTAATTTTCTTTTCCCTTTTCCAATGGGTCTCCTGTAACATAGCAATATCAATATGTTCTCTTTAATTCATATAGAAGCTTTCTTTTAAATGGGGTATTAAGCCCCTGAACATTTATAGAAATGCACTTAATAGATATTTCCCCTTCATTTTACTCTCTCTCATGAGCGCGATCCAAAAAAATTACTTAACACATCCTCTAACTGATATCCAAGTGAGGATACTGCTAAGAGCTGATGCGGTCCGGCGACCATCTTCTCACTATTCTATATTACCCTACACCATCCATTTAAAATGATATCAACAAATTATAAGGATGATTCTGGATAAGGCAAGAGGAGAGAGTATTGAGGGAAAGAAGAAAGGAAAAATTTGTTATAATTGACTCTTTTTTTTAATCCTAATTTTTCTTTTCACCTCCCCCAAATAACCAATATTTTGTTCATATGTACTATAAGTTACAGCATTTTTCTCTTTTTCATTCCTCACTAGATTGCTTTATAGTTCTAACTATAGTCCCTTTTAGCAATTAAACTGTGTATTAGGATTGATTAGAAACCATATAGAATAAGCTGAGGTTTTTATCTTTTTAGCTAGTTTCCCCTTAAAACATTATGTTGAAGATTTTTCATTCATATAACAAATATTGGGTAGATGAATGTACAGCTCAAATCAACAAACAATGAGACTTATTAGATCTATGCTAGTACATTACCACTCTCTCGTTAACTTGCTGTTTGCAATTTCTTTGAGTCCTGCCAGCTGTTTTTATTGGAAGTCTTGATACCTTATTTTACACATCAATTTTGTTGGCTAAACCACCACAATCTTCTCACTGTTCGTATTCCCAGCTTTTCCTTTTCTTCTTTTAGTTGTCCTCTTAGTGTGGAACTCCTTACTACTCCTTATTGCTATAAGATTTTCTGCCTGCAACTTATTTCACCGTCCCCGTCCCTGCCGTCTCCTCTCCACAAAACGCCGCATCCATGCAGTTACATACAGCCGCCGGTTCGTCAGCTCAGCAGACCCTGCCTCCCGATGCGTGCACACGTCCTCACGTCATTGCATCACCGTCATGTTTTATTTAAAAAAAAAAAAATATATATATATATATATATATATATATATATATACATACACACATAATAAATGTGATGTCTACAAAGTCCTATATAATAGTTACTCATAAATAAGTTTAATATTCATTAGGTCTCTACAAACATAGAGGTTAAAACTGTAAATATTTTATATGGTTTTTTTTTTCATAGGATGTCTATTATTTGTCTGTGTGTATATATATATATATTTATTTATTTATTTATAAAATGTATATTTTGCGATTTTTGGGGAACCCTAACCACATTTTGCTTAAGAATGCCAACAATTTAGTTTATTTTCATAACTACATAGGTGGCTAATGAAAAACAAAAAACAAATATGCAGTGTTGTGAATATACAATAAGTTGTAGCAAAAATGTTTCTTTAAAAACTGACTCCAAGATGTACAGACACCAAGTTTAGAAATGTATCAACATACTTTAAGTATATGTACAGGAATTGTGAAATCAACACAAAGATGTTCTTAGGTCATGATAAACTTATTTGAACAGAACTCTAAAATTGGTCAATTATAATATAATCTGAACAGGATCTTAGAACATTCCACTCAGAGAAGACAGGTCGGGGTCCATTACTGGAGGATTGGAGAGAAACTACAAAACCAATTATGTGCTCATATAAATTAGTGGCAGCTAAGTTTGAAGTTTACGGTTTTCAATCAAGAGTGGAAAGCTTTGTCCACAAGGTAAGTACTTGATAAAAAAAAAATATGTTAAAGCCTACTGAATACATACTACTGTGAGCACATAAGTCAATTTTGTATTTTTAATGTAAATATTTTTTTTGTATTTATAAATTATAAATCTGCATAATGTTTTACTAATTATTACTATTACTAGCATTTAGAAAGCACCAACATATTTCACAGCGCTGTACAATTGGTGAAAAAAAAGTCAGTACAAAAAATATACAAAAAGCTGTCTGGCAGGCAATATTTAAAATAAATGAGGAATTACTTAACTGGGAACTTAAGTAGCTGGAGAAGCATGCTATATAGCTTGAATTAACCAGGGAAGGTGGGAAGAGCAGGTGGGTTGGTAGTGTTTTATAGAAATTAAGTTTCTCTGTATATTCTGTTAGCTGCGTTTGTGGACTGAGGCCTAGTGAACAGAACTAGTGATAAGACAAGATATTTATTGCTCGGTGGGGCAAGGGATGGAGGGGGTTACACAAACATTTGTGGTATAAACTTTGTTGGATACAATGTAGAGCATATTTAGGTAAAAAAAAAGTTGAAAAAAATCTAAAAGTAAAACAAAAAAAAACGTACCTGCTATCCAGCATTTAGGTCAAGTTCTCATTGCAGCCTGATCCTCCTCCGATGAGGTGACTCCACATCACTACAGGGATGTACTTGCGGATAGGTTAAGGTGATGACTTTGGCAGCATGAAGGGGAGAGGTCATGCTGCAATTGCACGTCTCTCGCCAGCATGCTATGTGTGCTGATAACAGTTTCTAAGTATGCACTCTCTTTTTGGGCTAGCTAAGGATGCTGCTAGAGGTGAAGTTACATGTACAGCAGCACAATGCAGGGTTACATTGAGAAATGCTGCACATACGGTCTCCATTTTCCTCAAAATTAACGAAAAGAAAAATAAGTATAACTATATTATTGGCCTTCTGCTACTAATATAAAATGTTAGTAAGTGGGCCTAAGTACATTTAAATGTTTATGTGGCCTTTTTAATACATATTTCAACAGTATTCAGCTTTTACTTTACCACAACAAAACTATTTTAAGACAAAACTCGTGAGATTACTACAAAAAGATTAAACAATTGGGAGTATGATTTTGGTAACGCTAAAGCGTAAACAATAATTGTTTAACATATTTTATTTTTTACTTTTAGAACATTAAGGACATTTTACTTGCAGGACACAGACAGGCTGTTGCTTGGATGGATGAATGGTATGGTAAGTGCAGAAATTCTATTTTACTAAAAGATTAATTAAATTAAGAATTTCACAACATGAAGACAGAGACAAATATGGAAGTAAAAAATGGCTTTGATCAAATATACAGTACTACAAATTCATGGTCCAATAGGAACCACAAGTCAACAAAGAATGGATGCAAAAAATAAATTGGGTCAAATGCATGAGTATAGCATAGAATCTATTCCAAAATATGCATGTACCTACAATGGCCATAGAAGAATTCTAGGCACACACAATTTCTGCAAATTTCTGAAAGCTATTTTAATGTTTTTCAGGTATGTCTTTAGAAGATGTAAGAAAATTTGAAAAGAGACTTCAAGAGGAAACAAACTGCAAAGTAAATTCCCAGAAAGCAGGTGAGCAATAATATGACAATAAGATAAAATTATATTGTTTTACTACAAACATACAAACTTGTTAACAGTGCAAAAGAAGGGTCATAAGTCCTCTACAGGGCAAAGAAAATCACCCATAACTCATTTTTTTTTTTTTTAATGTATATTAAAGATCCATCTAGTTCTATGTTTCAGTCTTGGCACAGCCAAGGCACACAGTGTTTGTTTTTTCAGGAACAAAGGTCACAGTTTAGTACACTGATTGACAGAGAGCCATGATTTAGGTGGTCGTTTCTAGGATGTTTTTAGATAGAGTAACCCTTCCTGGCGTGCCTCCCCAGCAATTAAAATAAAGAAATAAAGCAAATGTAATTACACACTTCCACTGATTTTGCTGAGGACATCACAAGCAGCGTCCCCCACATGTGCAACCATACAAGTAGCCACATGTGTTTGGAGTCTACTTGTGGGGTTGCGTGTGTGGGGATGCTGCTAGTGATGTTGTGTTCCTGTATGTCAAAGTGTTGTGTTAATCGTTTCTCTTGTTTTATCTATTGTACAGTACTGCAGAATATGTTGGCTCTATATAACTGATTGTAATAATTGTGTGTGTGGAGGCTGTGTGCAGTATTGCAATGGTGGGTAAGCTGTTTGTGATGTGTATGTGTAGGGAGGCTGCATGTTTTGTATGTGTGGGGATGCTGCTTGTGGGATTGTGTCTACACAGTGAGGCACAGTGAGGCTCCTTGTGGGTTTTTGTGTGAATGAGGCTATTTGCAGTGCAGTATGTGAGTGGACACAGCTGGTTGTGTTACAGTGTGTGCGGAATAGAATCTGTAGTAGGCATCTGGTAGTTACTGGGGCTGTAGTGTGTGAGTGTCTGGGTAATAGAAACTGTACTGTGTATAAGTAGAATAGTGGCTGTAGTGTGTGTGTGGAGGATAGATGCTGAAGTAGGTGAAGGGATGTACGGGGGCTGTGGTAGCAGCAGGGAAGCACAGGGACTGAGATGAGCGCGGGGAGGCATGGGGACTGAGGTGGGTGTGAGCGCAGGAGGGGTCAAAAGGGCTGTGGTGGGTACTGAAAGGGGTAGGGGCTATGGTAGTTGGAGGTGGCATAAGGACTGTGGTGGGAGCATAGGGGCTTGGATGGGAATAGGGTAGATCCTGGGGTGGTTGTTGGCAAAAATGGTGGCTGAGGTGAGGTGGGTGCAGGGGGAGCTGTGGCGAGTACAGGGGGGCTGAGGTTGGTGCACAGAGACAGGAGGCTAAGGTGGGTAAAGGGGGGCTGAGGTGGTTGCAGGGGGAGATGTGGTGTGTGCAGAAGGAGCTGTGGTGGGTGCTGGTAGACAAGGGGTTGTGGTGGGCACAGAGTGTGACATAGGTGCTGTGGTGGGTACTGGATGGCATAGGAGCTATGGTAGGTGGAGGTGGCATAGGGGCTGTGCTGGGTGCATAGGGGCTTAGGTGGGTACAGGGATAGGTAGATCCTGGGGTGAGTGTAGGGAGGAATGGTGGCTGAGGTGAGTGCAGGGGAACTGAGGTAGGTGCAGGGGGGGTTGTGGTGAGTATAGGGGGCCTGAGTTGGGTGCAAGGGGAGATGTGGTGTGTGGAGGAGGAGCTGAGGTAGGTACAGGGAGGGGTTGAGGTGGGAGCAGAGGGGGGCTGAGGTGGGTACAAGGGGTGCTGAAGTGGGTACAAGGGGGGCTGAGGTGGGTACTTGGGTGCTGAGGTGGGAGCAGAGGGGCTGAGGTGAGTACTGTGGGGCTGAGGTGGGTACTGGGGGTTGGGGCTGAGGTGGGTACAGGGGGTGCTGAGGTGGGTACAGGGGGTTGAGGTGGGCAGGGGGCTTAGGTGGGAGCAGAGGGGACTGAGGTGGATACTGGGGTGCTGAGGTGGGTGGGGGCTGACTGGGGGGCTGAGGTAGGAGGTACTGGGGATGAGGTGGGTACAAGGGGTGCTGGGTACAGGGGGCTGAGGTGGGTACAAGGTGCTGAGGTGGGCACGAGGGGTGCTGAGGTGGGTACAAGGGGGGTTGAGGTGGGTACAAGGGGTGCTGAGGTGGGTACAAGGGGGGTTGAGGTGAGAGCAGAGGGAGATGAGGTGTGTGCAGGGAGACAGGGGGTGCTGAGCTGAATGAGGATGTATAAAAAATAATCTATTAGAAGCTTACCTGTGCTGTCTTCCAGGCTGCTGCAGCTTCTTATCTTCCGGTTGCTCTTCAGGCAGGGTAGAAAGTGGTGTCACTTCTTGGCCCCTCTCTTCCTCCTCACACACAGCACAGCCCTGCACAGGGGTTGGAGACCTGACAGCAAGAACTGGATGATCACTGCCAGGTCTCCCTGAGAGAGGAGAAGCAGGTGAGGGAGGGAGTGAGGGGGGTTAACTACAAAGTGATATGTTGCAGGGCCTCTGCAACATATCTCTGTAATATGGGATAAATCATGTTCTGGCTCCTCAGCCAGAGCATGACTGTGCTGCCGGGCCCCTGACTGCCTCGGGCCCTCGGTCCATGACCGATCTGCCCGACCTGTCAGTCCGCCCCTGTTTGTATTCAGTTTTAGTGGGAATTAGTATTGTGAAAGCCACATGATATGTTTAATTATCCAATTATGCTGAATGTCTTATTATTTTCATTATACACTGTTACTATATACATTGATGCAACATTCAATGTCTTTTGAAAATGTACCTTTTTGTTGAGGAGCTTGAGGCATCTCTTTTAGTCAAACATTTACTAAAGCCAATGCTGCACACCCACTTGGACTTTCTTTGCTCTGTTCTTATTTTACGGAACTATTTGAGACCTGTCTTCCAAGGCCTACTTTCTTTATTCATGCTATAACATATATATAGGTTTTATGGCTGGAACTTGACTTGGCCATTCCAATGCAAGTTTTCTGTTTGTTTTCGTCAGATGTTATTTGAGGTTTATTTGTGATTTTAATATAGTTTGCAAAATCGCATGGACTGTTAGCTTGAAGTAAAAAAAAAAAAAAGGAATCAGTATGAAAATAACTTGACACAATTGGTATGCAATAGATTTACAGAATTAATTTATGAAAATGCATCAATAGTAAAGGTGAAGCAGAATTGTAAAAAAAATACTGTAAAACAGTATATTAAGGCAAAGAAAATAAACAAAATAAAGGGGATAAAAATAGAATCTTGACTACCAGAAAAAAAATTAAAGGGCTCTCCCACACTTGGAAAGGGAAAGGGAGAGCATAAGAAAACACATCATAGAGTCTCAAACGTAAACAAAATAATGGAACCGCTTAGATCAAGAGCTCCTTTAAATGAGAATTACTTAACTTTTCTTTTTAGATTTATGTATGGATTTGTATTGAAAAGCACCTGAGCAGTTACATGCTTTCTCTGTGTATGTCTGCCTCTCTCATGTGTGTTAATCAGATTACATATTGATTGAAAATCACTTATAAAACATAAGAAGACTACCGTTTAACTATGTTGTAATGTACCAAAGTTATTTTAAACTGTATATTATGTATACACATTTGCTTGTACACGTGTATTTATTTTTTTGTCATGCTGTTTCAGACAGATCAATGTAAGTCTTCACATCATGTGTCTCTCAATTACGTATTTTTTGTAGATTGTAAAATCCCTAACCGAAGAAGCTCACAAAACAGTTTCAAAATCATTCACGGACCACAGTAAGAGATCCATTTTACTGAAGATTACACATCTTTACCTTTTTTTCTTCTAGTGACGGTGCTTCTAAAACATATCTAATTTTACATTATATCAACATAAATAAACTAAATTATTCATCTTATTGCAGATTACAGAAAGGGTTTTAGAAAGACTGCACTTTTTTCCTAGCACTTCGTGCAAATGTATGTCCTGTTATTTACATTTTCATTTAAGGTTCTCAAAATTACCATTTTTTAATCCTTGCAGATTCAAAAACTGACAATCATCTAAACATTGCTGGGGGGAAACATTCGATTAATCGTTCAACATCTTGGAATAATGGAAGTGAAGCACAGTCTTATGTAGCTACCAATGGGTCAGCAGAATTAAAGCCACGGCCAAGATTACCTTCGGCTCCAGAATAGTTGCTTCTGACCAAGCTGAACTCTTTGAATTATGGATCTGGACATTATGGATAAAGCTATCCTGAAGCTTGTTACTGTGCAATCCAGAACCAAGAGTTTAACATGTATATGATGGAATAGCATGGCCAGTGAGATTTTGATCACTGTTTACTTGTGCATTGTAAATAAAGGTTCAAAAGAAAGGACTTAAGAAACCCTCACAAAAACATGGACTTGTTCATACAAATACATTTGCAATATAAGACAGGATATTTTTCAATTATTTTAGGATATAAAGAAAATTGTATCTATTTACTAGTTGGAGGTTTTTAAATATAAATAAAATCCCTCTCTTAGGAATGGTTTATAGGAAGGTTTAAAGAAACCTGACAAACAGAACATGTTTTTATAATGTAATGTAAAACAAGTGATGCACTGATTGATTGCTACTTCTGAAAATGTTGTAAGCTACAATCCATAGCTACAGGGAACTTGTCATTTAAATAAAACTGTTTTATATCCTGGTTGATACATTTAACTGTTCAAGAATTTTGTAAAGATTACACAGGTGAACACTGATTTTATTGTCAATGCTGTTGGATAAATCGAATAGTTTTTTCTAGATTGTCTATTATTTTTAGCTAATGGATGCCGCCATTGAAAAACATTTAAAAATATGCAAAACAGTTCAATAATCAGCCATAACTTACCCAGCATTTATCTGCCAACATGTCTGTCCCATTTGCCTTTAGACGTTTCTTTTATATCCTGGTGGAGAATTTCACCCCTTGTTCCTCTCTTAAATCACCAAGATATCAACATAAATAAACTAAATTATTCATCTTATTGCAGATTACAGAAAGGTTTTTAGAAAGACTGCACTTTTTTCCTAGCATTTCGTGCAAATGTATGTCCTGTTATCTACATTTTCATTTAAGGTTCTCAAAATTATCATTTTTTAATCCTTGCAGATTCAAAAACTGACGATCATCTAAACATTGCTGGGGGAAAACATTCGATTAATCGTTCAACATCTTGGAATAATGGCTTTAAGCGGCTTGTAGAAAGTGTACCTTTATGCTCATATTAGTACCCACATTTTAAAGTTAGAGAGCATGTTTTGCACCAAGTTTTCATAACTGTCTGCTTTGTAGTTATCCGAGAATATCTTGAAAACTCGTAGATAACTGCACCAGGCAGAATTTTGTGAAATTCAACTCAGTGAGTTTATGCATTTCATGATCATCAAAGACTCCAGCCCTTTTTTTTTCAAAAATCAGTCCAAGGGACGATCTACAAATTTATTTAAAGCATTCTCCATCTCTATCTAAAGCCTTGACAAATTGCTTCATCAGTAGACCACTGGTGGATAAAGTTGATAAACAATGTTAAAGATAAGATTAGATTAAAGATTACAATAAATAAAAACGTTGTTGGGTAAAAAAAAAAACCCAGACCAAACCCCGCTGCGTATGCTAGCAGTCACAGGGTTGTATCGGGATATAATCATAATTTGATGGGTATTCATTATCTCAAAAACTATAGCTAGTTTAGCAAAACTGATGTCATTTTTTAATTAAGCAACCCAAAATTATACTATATTCAAAAATCTTTCGCAACTAAACAAAAGGTGTTTTTGTTGGCCTGGTTCTACGATCTACAATGTAAAGGAACAATGCCATGCGATAGTCAACTTACCACTGCCATCACACATACGTGAGCTTCAACAGAGTATGTGCAATCCTATACTAAAACAATACAAGAGGTTTTATTGAGCTGCATATGAAGTCTGTTATTAGGCAGCCACAGACAGTTTGAAATGGCAAAGACGGGGATGGTTTGCAAGGGCTTCAGACAACTAGAGATCTTCAGGTTTTGCAAGCTGTTTTTAGACCTACCCCAAATGAATAAATGCACAATTAAATATGTGTGTGTGTGTGTGTGTGTGTGTGTGTATATATATATATATATATATATACACACATTCTTTTCCCACTCTCAATTGGAGTGTTCCTTTAAGTCCTATTTTAGATGGTTTAGTGTTGACATTGCTCATTTATAGTTACCTAGGCTTAAAAGAGATGTGTCCATCAAGGTCAGCCTTCCTCACATCTGTTTTTTTTGCTGTTGGTCCAAAAGAAGGCAACAAAACCCAGTTTGAAGCACTTTATATTTGCAACAAACTAGGTAATAAAGCATAAAGCTATTTATAAAGGAGCAATAACTTCTATAATTCCCCATAATATATAGCTCATGAAAGATTCTGATCCTGATAGTTGCTATGTTCAAATGAGCCACATGGCATGTTTAGTTCAGTACTAAAACATGATATGCAGTACATTAAATGATGGATGGGTATTATTAGATCACAGTGCTTTTGTTTGGTGTTTTAGATTTTATTTTTATTTTTTTAGTTTGTACATTTATTGTTATTGCAAGTTTTATCTTTATCTGTTCATTTATTGATCAGTTACATGGTAAAAAAAAAAAAAAATACCATCAACTGACTTCTATTTTTAAAGTTTTACCTTGTGATGTTTGTTCACGTTTTATATCATATTTCCTCTAAAATAATTCTGTGTACAATTACAATTACAATTTTATATAAAATTATAAACAGCAGCATCTTTGTGTTTTGCATTTTGTCATAACTACCTATTTTTTCCTTCCTGTTGCACCGAGAATTGTTTTTAATATTGTATTGGAGTTTGTATTAACCTTTATATGTAGTCTATTATAGAGCCATTTTTGGTCGTAATTTGTATAAAAGTTGTTACTATTTTACCGTCTTATTTGTTTTACAATTCACAACTACCCTCTTAATGAGTTTAATCACTAAATAGTGAAATTGAAGCAAAATATACCAAAATTAATGTTTTTTCTCCTACTTGGCTGTTTTGATCTACATAATGTTCTTGAATTGTAAAGTAAAATAAATAATCTCACTATATAGTCAATAAGCTTTTTTAAAAAAAAAACATTAAAGGACCACTATAGTGCCAGGAAAACATACTCGTTTTCCTGGCACTATAGTGCCCTGAGGGTGCCCCCACCCTCAGGGACCCCCTCCCGCCCGGCTCTGGAAGGGGGAAAGGGGTAAAAACTTACCTTTTTCCAGCGCTGGGCGGAGAGCTCTCCTCCTCCTCTCAGCCTCCGTTACGCCCCGCCGGCTGAATGCGCACGCGCGGCAAGAGCTGCGCGCGCATTCAGCCGGTCTCATAGGAAAGCATTTACAATGCTTTCCTATGGACGCTGGCGTACTCTCACTGTGAAAATCACAGTGAGAAGCACGCAAGCGCCTCTAGTGGCTGTCAATGAGACAGCCACTAGAGGATTAGGGGGAAGGCTTAACCCATTCATAATTATAGCAGTTTCTCTGAAACTGCTATAATTATGAAAAAATGGGTTAACCCTAGAAGGACCTGGCACCCAGACCACTTCATTAAGCTGAAGTGGTCTGGGTGCCTAGAGTGGTCCTTTAAAACTAAATTATAATGTTATACTGCAACAGCAAAATTTCTTAATCAGTTTAGGAATACTTTTTTTTAGAGACATCGTCCTTTGCAGTAACTAAACATTTTCTCATGTGCTTTGACATAACTGAAATCATTGTTTTTTTTAATTTGCTACTTTGCCAGGGGGTATACAAGCGACACTACAAAATATCAGGACAAGGAGAAACGAAGAAAACTCGCAAGACAATATTAACAGAAGTATTTCTAACAGGGTACAATAGGAAATGGAAACCACACAAGGGTGATAACGGGCGGAGTGGAGTTATATATAGCAGCGAATTTATTAAAACTACAAAGGTATTATGTAGAGGCACAATGAGGCTAAACACACTGGAGTCCTAGTTCCAGAATTAAAATGTATTCTTGTACAGAGATATCACAAAGGTTACCATGGCACTAATCCTTTGTGTTTTGCGCAGAAGCTATTATGCATTATTTCAAGTTATGATTAAGTGTACTATTTTTGTACTCTGCACATATATATTTTAATTCTGGAACTCCAACTTCAATGCATTCAGCCTTGCTGTGCCTTCATATAAAATCTTTCTGTTTCAATTAGATCGCTTTACAGATTGTGGATCTTGTATGGGAGAGCGAGCACTGGCTTTTTGGAGGATTAATTGGTGTGGTCTTGTGGAGCAGTGGCCCTTGGAGCTGCCTACATTTTGTTTAGATTTTTTTATATATAAATGACCAGGAAACAAATCATTTAGTAAATATGAGAAAGCTTGCTGTATACAACACCACATATGCTACCAAATTCATTACTGAATGCAAATGTTTCCCAACTTTTACTATGTCAACTGAGGGCTAGATTCTATAAGAATAGCACGGGTTGGGGAGCTTGGCTATGCAGAGCTAGTGAATGGTAGCAACCTAGTGGAGCTCCTTTTCATTGAATGATAAGGTCTACATCCAGTTTCTTGAATGACTCACATGCTTTTAGTTCAATATATATCCTAGATATTAATATGGCTAAACTTATTATTTTGTCTCTAAATAATACAAGGCTGAATAATCTCAAAAAGTGAAACATTTTTTGCAAAAGAATTTGCAAGATCTAAAGCAGATGTATGCTTCCTTCAGGAGACCCACTTTATGGAAGGAACTGCACCTCTAATGATGTCTAGGAACTACTCCCAGACTTTCTTTAAAAATTTTGTAGAAAGCAAATCCAGGGGGGTGGCCACTGGCGTACATACCGTGGTCGCAGCTGCGACCGGGCCTGGCCCTCCAGGGGGCCCGGCCACCTCAGGGCCCCCAGAGGCTGGCAGTGGCGTCACTTTGTGGGCGGGTGCACGAGGGAGCATTCTCCCCTGAACTCTCTGCCCTGCACCCATGCGTGTGTCTGTCAGTAAATGTGTGTGTCTGTTAGCTAGTGTGTATGCATCTGTTCGTGAGTGTGTCTGTTAGTGAGTGTGTGTGTATGCTTGTCTGTTAGTGTGTGTTTGTTAGTGAGTGTATATGTGTTTGTCAGTGAGTGTGTATGTGTGTGTGTATATGTATCTCTGTGTGTGTCTGCATGTGTGTGTGCCTGTATGTGGGTCTGTATGTGTATCTGGTCTGCATGGGCATCTGTTTGTCTATATGTGTATCTGAATGTTTGTTATTAAAGGACCACTGTAGTGCCAGGATACAAACTCGTTTTCCTGACACTATATAGTCCTTAGGTCCCCCCCCCCCCACCCTTGTGGCCCCCCTCCCGCTGGGCTGAAGGGGTTAAAACCATTTCAGCACTTACCTTTCTCCAGCACCGGGCTCCGTTGGCGCTGGAATCTCTCTGCCCCGATCCGCCTCTCAAACCGCCCATAGGAAAGCATTACTTAATGCTTTCCTATGGACAGCCAGCGTCTTCTCACTGCGATTTTCACAGTGAGAATCGCGGAAGCGCCTCTAGCAGGTGTCAGTGAGACAGCTACTAGAGGCTGAATTAACCCTCAGTGAAACATTGCAGTCTCTCTGAAACTGCTATGTTTTCAGCTGCAGGGTTAAAACCAGAGGGACCTGGCACCCAAACCACTTCATTGAGCTGAAGTGATCTGGGTGCCTATAGTGGTCCTTTAAGTGTATGTGTATGTGGTCGCAGCCCTGTGACCAGGTGCCCGCCGCTATGTGTTGTGGCCCTGGCCCACACAGTGTAAGCGCCGTAGGAGGCCCACGGATCAGTTTTCGCACCAAACTGAATGCAGTTCTTTTTTGTCCAAAGGGTTCTGAGAAGGTTGGAGAGATTTGGGGGAGGGGGGGGGCATTGTTTTAGGTGGGGATTGGCATATTTAGCTTTAGACTGGACACTTGATAACTGCACCACAAGGCAAATATACACAACTATCCCAATGTAAGATTCTTCAAAATAAATTGCATGTTAATCAACTGATAGCCTGCTGGTGAAGGACTACAGTCAAGGACTAAATATTTTATTTACATACAGCAGAGTCATATTCACTGGAAGCACAGAATAACTGAGCACTGAGACATGCTTAGCTGTGGATTTATAGGGGAGAGGTTTCCACCTCTCCCACATTATTGGTTTATTGGCCTCTATCATTATTGTTCAATATGTCCCCTGCCCCTTTAAGCGGCTGTCCTTTGGGCACATGTGTATGACATCATTATGGGGTGGAGGTTCCACCCCCATCATGTGTGTATCCAGTGGCGTGTAAAGGGGATGTGCTACCGTCTTTTCAGTCACCTAGAATGGGCCACTTCCTAGTAAGTGGCATAGGAGGAAGGGGCACAAAGGAAAACACAGAGGGGTTGAGGGGGAGTGGGGGCAAAGAGACACACAGAGGGGCTGGGAAGAGGAAAAAGAGACATACAAAGGGGTTGGGGGAGAAACAGACACATAAAGGGGCTAGGGGAGATACAGAGACACATAGGGAAAGGGGAAGACACAAAGGGAAAGGGGAAAAAGAAACACACAGGGAAAAGAGAGAGAAACTGACACCTGCTGGGGAAGAGAAAGGCCTGCCAACCGACCACAGCAACCAGTCAGCCAGCCAGCTGGCCACAGCAACAGTAATTAAGGTGATAATAGCCAACTTGGGCTGGGTATCAGAGAGCTATGTTATTTTACTATATTGTGAATGGGGCCAGAGTGGACTCTATTTTAGTCTCTAATGGGGCCTTGAAGGGACTCTTTCTACAGTTAACACATCTGTGCAATAACTATTCTTATTCTATAAAGTATGAGCACTCCAAAGCTATAGGTAATTAAATGAAGACAGAAAACACTATAAACTCTATAAAAGGATCAATGCATTTTTAATAACGATAAACATAAAAATATATAAGAAAGGTGTGGTACTGTACTCTCTTATCCCTAAAATATACCACTGAATAGGGGCAAAATACCAGATTCTATAGGCTAACAGTAAAACACTAAAGCACGGCACACCAACCTAGATAAAAGGGCATAAGGGAGGAACAAACACAGTTAACACGTATACGCGTTTCGTTCCTCTCACGGAACTTTATCAAGATTGCCTAAAAAATAAATCCACTGTCTTATATAGCTCTTAGGAAATGGCTAATTAAAAGGTATTAGAAAAGCCAGGCTTAAATCTAGAAGCCAGACTACAAATTTAACCATTAATCACCTAATAGCTTAAAGGGATTGACTCCCTATGTTCATAAGACAAAATGCATAGTAATATCCATGATACAGCATATAAAATAGATACACTGGTAGATGTCCCCTACTTCCAGAACAGACACTGTACCAGTCAAAATAATAAAATAAAATATAATGTATATATCACAAAAAATGATGAAAAATAATAAATCATAAAGAATAAGAAATAAAAACAAAAATAATACTGCAAGAAAAAGCTAGCTGATCCAAAAAATTCTCTAAAAAATCCCAATATTCCAATAGAGAGAACAATCATCAGGACACAACCTAAAATTGTTCTAATTCATCATTTTTTTGGATCTACACCTCGGATGAGGGCCCACACCGAGGTCAGGTACTGATTCCTTATCATTTTAGTTTACCTGTATGGATCCGGGACTTTACTTTCTCGGCACACTCCCTTTTGCAGATTATCATTTTTTATTTTTCCTCTATTGAGGGGCAGTGATTTTGGCTATTTAATTCATATATTATGTAATTTTGATTAAGTTTTGCACTTACATCTCTCTATCTATATATCTACATTTGTGATATGTAGGTGACCTACCCCTGTGAATGTGTGATACATGTTACCTTCCATGCTGGGTTGCAACATGCTGCTTCTTTTTTTATAGATACTGTTGCTTTGTCCCAGCCTGGGAGGTTTATATGCATCACGAGTGTGTACACACATATGATATTGCATTGTGATTTTCCATATTTTTTGTTTGGGAGAGCTACATTTTTTTGTGTTTTTAGCATACATAAAGCGTTTTACCAGAGAATCTGGTATTTTGCCACTATTCAGGGGTATATTTTAGGGATAAGAGAGTACAGATCCACATCTTTCTCATATATTTTTATGTTTCTTGTTATTAAAAATACACTGATCCTTTTATAGAGGTATGGTGTTTTCTGTCTTCATTTAATTACCTACAGCTTTGGAGCACTCACACTTTAGATATTTAGTTCTCTTTTTAAGTCACTTTCTTGTATGTAGCAACGCATATTATTTGAATATATCGGTTACAGATAGTTTTTTTACAATTTAAATTTGGGGTGATGCCAAATACAGGATCTTCCCTGGGTGCAAAATGCTCTAGGTACACCAGTCTGTATAGCTGGCCAAGGTCTTCGACCAACTGCTGACCGTGGCAAGATGGGGAGATGGCACCGCTTCTATACACAGTGAATCTGTTTGGTTTCTACAAGTTGACCAATCCCTTAAAGAAATTCATCCAAACATTCATTGGCACTATTGTAGCATTAGCCCACCTTTTCTCCCTACTCCACATCATCATGTCATGGTCTCATATCTTGATAAAGGAGAGCAGACGAGACTTCCAACAGGCAGTCTATCTGCTGTCTACCCATAGCAACCATTATGCATGTGCTGTGGTTGCTATTGTAACTCCCAAGCTGGTGCTGCTAGCACCGGTTATGGAATATAGGAAAGAAGTAACTAACTATGCATGCTGGCAACTAAGTCAGCATGTTGGTGTCTTAGAGGTGGCTTGTCCTGCTTAGAGAAGTGTCCTCAAGCAGAGAAATTTAGTGAAGTGAGCAGGAGAAGTGAGCATGAACCAGAGGTGGGTTTTACAGAAGTGTAACAGCCACCTCTGTAATGAGATTTAAGGGGGGTAGTGGAGGTTGAAGAAAGTGCTGGCAGATTTCCCTTAAGCATTATTTATGTTTTTTAAAATAATGGGTCAAATACAGCCTTGAGAGATCCTTTAACAAATGTTATCCTTAAATTCATGACTTTAAATATATATATATATATTTTTTTGGAGGGTGGGGGTGGGGAGCGGGGTGTTATTTGGCTGTTACTCTCATTAAGACAGCATATTTATCATAAAATACAACAGTTTGAATAAAGTTTAATACATGTTTGCAAATTAATAAGAACAAGAGCCTTTTAAAAGTAGAGATAATAGGGGTGGCTAGAGGTGTCACTGTCTTTGCTAAAGTTTGCAAGACTGGACATTGTGAACAAAAGCTTCTAACGAAGAGAAAATCTGCATTAGGCAACAATTAAACATTATTTACTAAATAATATAAGGGGATGAACTGACTATGAAAATTGCAAAATGTATAACAAAATAACTATTCTCCAACTCAATTTTCTTTCAGGCTCCACAGCAGCATTATCTAAATTCACTTACCTTACCATGTAGGTTAGTCACTGTTAAGTAAATAAACCCCATTGTTCTATGTTTTACTCACAAATGTATATAGAGGCACTATTTACTATTTCATATTCCAAATGCCCCACTTATGTATGCTATAGTATATATTTTTCAAAAATATTTTAATGTTTTGCAATGTTTAATAGATCCACTAGAGGGAAAATCTAGACTCTTTTAAAGAATGCTATTGCAAAAGTTCCCAAGCAACACAATACCAGTTTTATGGAACTATGTGTTGGTGCAATTCTAATATTTGTGAATTAACCAGTGATTTAGTCGTTTAAACTGCTGCTTATGCATAAATATTTACAGATCCTGTTCTCCAAGCATCAGAATTGTTCAAAGTTATGCCATTTAACCATGTTATTTTGTTTGAGCAAGTTGATACCAGATGCAGAATTATTTTTTTATATTATTCATAAAGCATTGATTATATTTGTGGCACAGTCTATATCATACACACCATATATTTGCAAGCTGTTAAGACCTTTACGATTAAGTATTCTTTTTAAATAACATTTCTGTATAGAACCCAAGCGACCTCTAGTGGCTAATGTGCAGAAAGCATTACTATCTGTGCTTATTTGATTTTGTGAAGGAATGTCTCATATTCAGTGTTTTTGCTGTTGACAATTTAATTGTAGTTTTTTGAATGCTCCTATTATATTTCCTTTTAAAGATAAATGTAACTACATTTTTCATCTTTATTTGAAAATAATATAAAAAAACAATGGTTAAAGAAACATTTGCTACTAGTACATACAGTAATATATATATATTTTTTTACATTCTTTATTTATGACATGCAGTGAAAAACATACAGGTTCATGGGGCATGTCAGCACAATGTAAGATAACATGGAAAATTTAACAGATGTATAAAATGACATGTACAGAATTCTGCATTTGTTTTTATTTATTTTTTTGTAAGATAACAATTAAACTTTACAGGCTTAACTCCCATATCTAAAAATGTGGCTGGTAAGAAGACATGAGGTAAAAGACGGCGACGGGTACCTGGTTGCAGCGGTCTACAGGGCGGCCGGGCCCCCTGGAGTGACGGACCCGGTCGCAGCTGCGACCCGTGTGACCACGGTATGTACGCCACTGCTTCCAACATCCACGGATACTCCTGCGTCCAGCAGTAATATTGTGGGCCCGCGTGAACTCCAACTTGCGGAGACATCCTGTGTGTGGACTATGGGATGACTGTTGCTTCATGGGGAATCCCAGCCCGGAATGAAAGAAATGGTCACTGCAGATCAAAGTCCATACAGATGTTTAAACTGCAATAGGATAAATACTTGCAAAAACATAACATACAGGGATATAATTTCGAATTAGTGGAGTAATAGCTGCTTGATCCAAGGAGACATCTGACTGCTATTTTGGGATCAAGAAGGAATTTTTTCCTAGTTTGTTGCAAAATTCGAAGCGCTTCAGACAAGGATCAACAGCAAAAATATGCGAAGACAACAATCTTTTGGATCAACAGCAAAAATATGTGAGAAATGCTGAACTTCAAAGACGCAAGTCTCTTTTCAGCTATGTAACTATGTAACTGCAGCTGTATTAGCACGGTCAGTGATGCGTTGCCAGACCTTCGCGCACAAAGCCTCAAACCGAGAATCGAAAGACTCCCTCCAACTTTGACCATTAGGGTCTGCATAAGTAAGCAATGGCTCCGACGAAGCCGTGATGTTAGATTCGCCATGGGGTCCGTGGAATACGAGATAGCTGCTCCCGTCAGGCTGTATTGCAGGCTTTCCCCAGTGGGGACCGGGAGAACCCCAACCGGTCCAAAGGGTGGGGTAACGAGGCTGTACAGGTGCCTCAGTGATCTGTGCACCTCGAGCTCAGAGATTAGCTGCTTCTCCCAGCTACAGGGCCATCAGACACGCTAGGCCACAGGTCCGAGTAAAGTAAGTACTCAAAGGAACAAATCAATTTGAGCCAATATTGTTGCAGGCTATTGACAGGACATTCTGCCGCTGGTTCACTGTGGTTTCTGGGGGCATTGGACACTCTTTAGGGGTAATTTTAGCTTAGATGTGGATGATCTGAAGGAAAACATATCCAGCCATCTTGACTGTTAGACCCTGCCCTGCATACAGTAATATTAATACAACATGTGGCAGGAAATACATTATAAAAGCTTATTGAGTAATTGGTGCAGCTGTGAAAACGGTAGAGATTCTTTGCTAAAGTGAGCACTGTAGCGAATTTAAAGTGAATTTTAAATTTAAGTCCAAAATAGATGAACTGGAATTATTTCCAAAGTCAGCTATGCTTTCAGACTATTTTGGTATTGAATTTGAAATTAATTTTGAATTCACTTTGAATTTCCTACAGTATTTCCCTTTAGTGTATAGCCCTGTTGATGTTCAGTCCAACATCCAAATAAGAGTTAAATTTAGTTTGCAAATAGCTGTTTTGTCAATTCTGTGGTCAGTGGGACTGTGTCTGAGTGTATGAGTAAATGTATCCTTTCGTACCCCAACAGGCTGCTTCAGGAACAGTCGATTTGCATACTAGAAATGAGCGTCTGCCAACTTCTGTCTTTGATTGAAATGTTTTATTCATTTTATGTTATGCTGGTTTACTATTTTTATATGTTCTTGCTGCATATACTATTGTTTTACTTACCCTGGCTCCATAAACTATCAGATTAATGGATGGTTTTGTTACTACCCCCCTCACCCCTCAACGTGCAAAACCCTCAGTTAGATTTCAATAACGTTTACATTTACTTTCAGCATCTAACCATGGCCTTCTATTCTATTATCACCAGATTAGGCATCTGTAGGTTAAGAAAGGCTTTTGACCTGCTCTCTCTACACTTGTGTGTGTCCTAAACCAAAGTACTCCATGTTGCGTTCCTCTTTTGGTACCCTGGGCAAACACAGCCTTCACCTGCACCTGCACCTGCACCCTCTGTTTATTGTCATGCCTCACCTGGTCTAGCAATAGGAGATTGTATAGCACCAAACCTAAAATAGGGTGGAATATGCCCATGTGTTGTAGTCTCCGATGTTTACATTGTGTTTTGATATGCACCTTAATTATTGTCTTCCCATACTGTATTATTGACATAATGCTGACCTGCAAAAATAAAGAATATAACAAATAAATCTATGCATGGTACAAGAAAGTGTGATTTAAGTTAATATATTTCTCTTGTACAAAAAAAAGCAAATGTTGAAGTGAAACGTACCTTTCTTACCTTCTGCTATGTTCATCGTTAAAGACTGATTTCCACAGTGACGGTCCATCTGGAGAGTATAACAATTTGGGCAGCTCATTTATTTTTCTGGATTTTTCTGGATTTTTCTGGAAAAGATGAAGGGTCTGTTATTGGAAGGGCTTAAGAACAGACACCAGTTTTTACAACATAGCATTTCTTTCTTTACAAGTCTCAGATATGGGTGCACTTGATACGCTGGTTGACCTCCTTATTGCGAATGACGAATCCGAAGTAAGATATCCCCCCTTTACACATCTAAAAAAGAAAAGCATGTTCACTCCACACTTAGTGGATTTTAAATATATAGACCTATTTGTGGAGATGACATGCAATGAAATTGAAAAAATCAACTTAAAAGACCTTCCAATCCAACCTAATAGCAACATCTCTCCTCAAGAAAATATCTCTCTTAAAAAACTTAAAGAACTGGATGAGGTTATTTTTAAACCCTCCGATAAAGGGGGCAATACAGTCATTCTAAACAAACCTGATTATGTCTCAATGGTACAAAGACTAATTGGGGATAGCAATACGTATGAAGTTCTAAAGGGTGACCCCACTAAAAAATACTTGGCAGAGTTGAAAATAATCCTTGATACAGCTTTATCTCAACTTCTAATTTCCAGGGATGAATATAATTTTATGTTTGTCAAGAATCCCTTCTATGCACTCCCAAAGATACACAAACAACAACCGGTACTAAATGGGAGACCCATAGTCTCTGGTAGAGGTAATCTGACTCAAAACATCAGTCTTTATGTGGATCAGATCCTGAGGAAACTAGTCACTCAACTTCCTTCATATCTTAAAGACACGAAACACACATTAAGTATCATCGAAGGAACAAAAATTAGTGGTCACGCTATTTTATGTAGCCTTGATGTGGAGAGCCTGTACAGCTCGATTCCACATGAAGTTGGACTAGAACATCTGAAAGCTAGCTTGGACAGTAAACCAGTAATATCACTAAGACACAATAAATTCGTCCAAGATCTGATGCAATTTATCTTAACACACAATCACTTTACCTTTCAGGGAAAGTATTATCACCAGGTGAGAGGGACTGCGATGGGGACGGCTTGTGCCCCATCATATGCCAACCTCCACCTGGGGTGGTGGGAGTCTCAAATGGTATTCACGGATCATATGGTAAAATATACAAAGCATATAAAAATCTGGAAAAGATACATCGATGACGTGTTTATCATTTGGACAGATACCTCGGAACTGTTTTTGGACTTCGTCCACACTCTCAACTCCAACAATATTAATCTCAAACTGACTAGTGAAATTGGTGGCAATAGAATTAATTTTCTGGACCTCACCATCTCGCTGACAGAAGAAGGGTGCCTCATCTCAACTCTGTTCCGTAAACCAACGGCAACTAATAACTTGCTGAATTGGTCTAGCCATCATCCCCCTTCCCTAAAGAAAGGGATTCCAACTGGACAATACTTGCGCCTTAGACGCAATTGCTCTACATTGGATGATTTTAAACTAAAGGCTAAGACCTTACAACTCCAATTCAAACAAAAGGGGTACCCGAATAGATGCTTAAAGCACGCTTATAAACGGGCCTTACTGTCAGATCGGAAAGACCTTCTAATCGAACATAACCCAGAGCCATCACAGGCAGTCATAAGATGTATAGGGAATTTTGATGCCGGCTGGCATCAAATGATGCAAATCTTGGACAGATTCTGGCCCCTTTTACAACAAGACCCACACTTACGGAAGGTAATCACACATAAGGCTTCAGTAACAGCAAGAAGGGGACGCAACATCAAGGACATGTTGGTCCCTAGCCATCTCAAGACTACACCCCAGAAAACATCATGGCTGAAGTCCCCAGTCTTAGGGACCTATCAATGTGGGAAATGTAAGGCATGTAGGTTTATACGTAGACCCTCCAAAACATTCCCAGACTCCCTCGGCACACAGGAATTCAAAGTAAAGAATTTCTTTAACTGTCAGTCCAAAGGGCTTATCTACTTACTTTCCTGTTCGTGCAAAAAACTGTATGTGGGAAAAACCTTTAGGATGTTTAAACTTAGGATACGGGAACATGTCAATTCGGTAAACCCCACAAGACAAATCGACACCCCTATCTCTAAACATTTGAAACTACATCATGGGGGCTCATCTGAAGGAATCAGATTTAGTGGTATTGAAAGGGTTACCTTGGGACCAAGAGGGGGGGATTTAGACAAGAAGCTACTCCAAAGGGAGAGCTTCTGGATCTATAAGCTCAAAACCCTGTCACCCTTGGGACTTAACGAAGGTTTCTCATATACACCATTTATTGCAGATCACTGATACCAGGTGTGGGACTCAGACCTATATACGGGCAGTGGTACTCGG